TAAATTTATTTGAGAATGTTTGACTGAAAATGATAGCTTACAAACTTGAACTTTTTACTTATAGTATATAAGTTGTAATATATTACAAGTTGCACGATGCTTCAAAATGGATGAGAACTCCTAAGAGAATATTGTAATTCTTTAAATCTACAGCAAAAAACAAACAGTTATATGAAATAATTTTTCATTTCTATCAGTTAAAGAAGTGGAAAACCCTGACACTGTCACTGTCTAAAACACTATAATACCCAAGTGGCCGTAATGTTTGAAAACACCATTTGAAGTTAGGTCAAAAAACAAAATGATTTAAAAGATCATTTACCGGATACTTAAAAAATCCCCTACTAAATCAATAGACTCAATATAGGGACAAAACAATCTCATAACATGTAGTAAAAGCAATAATACACCTCAACATGTTCAAAATAGTCAGGTCTTTTAACCTGCAGCCATTAAATCTATCAATGGTTTAACTGTTTGTTGTTGATGAATTATTTAGACAATTGTGTTTTAGAGGGTTGGGTAAAATTACTAGATATTCAAACATGATAGACTCAAATGTCTAACAAGATTGATAGCTATAGAATGTAAAGCTACAGGTACATCTGTCCACAAAGATTAGAAACTTTATCTTCTAAAGGAAAGCTGATTGACTAGTAAGAGGTTTTTTGAAAAAGGAATAGAGTTCAGCTAGCTTACCTAAATATATTAGAGTCCAGGGTCTAATAGATACGCAATAAAAGAGCTTAAAAGTATAATACACTGATAATTTCGTCCTGTTGAAGAAGTCCTACATCAAGACTTATTTTTACACTTATCTACAAAACTGTTTACTTAAAATACCATTGTTACTGTTATGTTTCATGTTCTTTTATTGTGTCCCTAGACTCTCATTGTCTCAGGTAAGCTAGCTTTCTAAGTCTAACTCCATTCCTTTTCATATAAACCGTTGTACCTTTATTTTTAATTTTCCATTACAATTACAGTTAGACAAATATTCTATTTCAAATAATATATTTGTGAGCTCCTATGTACCCAAAAAAGTGTTCATACCTCCCAAGGCCTACTGAAAAAGACAACAAAAACTGCTTCTGAATGTTCAATGGTTGAAAAACGTGTTCTACTACAAAACAGGAAACAAATTATAACACCAACCAAATAAGTGTAAAAACTGTTTAATTATACAAAATACATTATTACATATTTACAGTTATATATGTACAATCCAACATATCCAATGTAGATTTTATTTAAATGATTTTTTAGCTCTCCAATCTAAAAACTCATCGAAATCTTCCTCATCATCTGACGCATCTTCCCTCGCATTCTCGCTGGAACCTTTCGTTGCTACAGCTTGGACCGTTTCCTTTTTCTTCTCCAGATCAAGAACCCTGTAAATGTTTACCCTCTTATAAGTCGAACAAATCATTACACTTTCTAATCACTCGTTTTAATGTAAAATGAGAGGTGATTAAACCGATGCATAGATACTAAAAGACAGTAGACAAAAGTACTGTAATGAATGTTCAACCACTGGTTATTTGCAGTCACTTTATCGAAGAAAAAAATCCAACACAATTAACAAATACAATACCATATACCATTTAACAGACTTGGACTTAGACACAAACTAATGAGCTGCAAACTATCCTCCTCAGACCCATAGGAAAACTGAGAATTTTATTTTTGTAATTTTTGTGTATATTTAAAGGAAATAAATAAAGTAAACAAGAAAAAATTTTTTTGGAATTTTTTTTTTATTAGAAATGTACAAAACAGCATGTAACCTATTGGTTACATCGGAACTCGACCAAACTCATTTTTTTACACACGTAAATCTTTAACTTAGGAACCTGGTCATTATAACTCATGAAACAGTTTAAAACAGTTCCTATTAGAATTTAGACATAAGAAAACATTGCAGGTGCTGCATTTAATGCGACATTTAGGACTGTCACATCCTGGGAACCGACATCTAGAAGGCTTCACATCTGGAGGAATTTCCGGTAGATGCTGAACCTTGCTCTTCCGGACAGCATCTGTTGGCAAAGGAGTTTTCCTTCCCGAGGAAGAGGAATACAGTAGGAGGACTAACTTATTGCCACTTCAATATATTTGTAGAGACTTTGGGATTTGTAGAGACTAGCATCTAACAATTTGTTCAAATAAAATTAATTTTCAATTTTCAATAGGAATATTGTTTTAGTCTACCTGAGGAAATCATAAGTTAGTGACAACAAAATTTGAAATTTTCATTTTGAAGGCATACTTACTAAATAATTTATTTTCTTCGAATCGTTACTAAGCAAAACGTTTGCCATTTCTTAAACGATTTCAGAATCCAAGCCAATGGCTTGGTAATGGCCAAGGGAATGGCTTTCCACAATATTAATAGAATTTTTTCACATCAACATTCAGACTGGAGTCAGAGACTATGATGCTTTTATTGTTAGACGGTGCAGTAGGCTACATATTTTTTACTAGTATGCCTACTTAACAGAAACACCGGTTTATTTCTTTGAAGTGCTATTTATTTAAGTTATTTTAATCAATTAATTCCGGTATGTATTTTTCGTGATGGCATTATCAATGTTAAGGTTGGTTTGTCGGCTACTCATCACATAAATTATGTATTTATATTTATGTGATGAGTAGCCGACAAACCAACCTTAACATTATTTTAATCACTTAACAGCAGCTTTTATCAATAAGATAGACAAATAAATAAGGAAATAGTACGGCATTCTCACCTAAAAATCACTTCTCACGTCTATATTTACACGAATCAATGTCTTATTCTTACATTTTTTCAAATCTAAGTTCATATTCGTGAAAATGATTCACACAAAAACGAGAATTGTTTTAAGGTGTCTAATTTGACCGAAGAATAGCAGGAAGCCATTGTTGCTGACGCGGTGGATCGCTTAGAATCTTAGAACACTGTATGTATTATTCATTTTTAATTGAGCTTTTGTAATTATTCTTGCATCCAGGCACATCTCATCTATCTGGCATGCTGTAGTAACAAGCTCAATGTCATTACTAATGGTTAGGGTAGTAGAAACACAATTATGTAAGTCGGTACGCGACTCGTCCATTCACTGTAATGGTAAGACGACCGCGCATCAAGACACGGATGTGACGTTGCCACGTTTCGCTCGCCGCCGCCTTGTATTAGAGGTGGCTGTGGCTGAACTCATTCCTCTCTACAAAATATTTGTATCAGCGACTTGCATTTCCTTTTAATTTAAATATAACATTTCCATTAGTGACTGAAGAGCAAATACCTACCTGGAGACTCTCTTGTCCACCACCAGCACAAAGTTTCAGAGATCGAGGCCAAAACCTGCAAAATACACACACTATGATGTTCTCAATTTACTTAAACATTAACGTAGAAGTAGACATTCCATCTGTTATGAACCAGTTGTAGCCAGTTTGTTTGATTAAAAAAACATTTTGATGTTAGAGTGTGCTTCTGTTTTCTCCTTTAGTTTTTTTTACAGATCTGTGTTAGTTTACAATAACTATTCCTATCATTTTCGCTATGTAAATAAGGTTTCTCAACTTTTGCGCCAAGAGTGACAATACGTTGTCTGATTATGTATATTTATTATTAATAGTAACTTTTAAGCTTACCTGTATTACAAAAACCAACCATGCCGCATTCATGTTAAAAATTCCTCATGAAACTGGCAACAGTTGTCTGTCTTCCACCACCTGTCAAATGACAAATGCACCAACTAATATCAGACCTCTACAAATAACGATAAGTGGTCGTTTTAGGTGTGAGCATGTCAAAAATTAAAAATTCATTGCTGAACATTTTTCTACTGCGGTTTAAATTTATTTGAGAATGTTTGACTGAAAATGATAGCTTACAAACTTGAACTTTTTACTTATAGTATATAAGTTGTAATATATTACAAGTTGCACGATGCTTCAAAATGGATGAGAACTCCTAAGAGAATATTGTAATTCTTTAAATCTACAGCAAAAAACAAACAGTTATATGAAATAATTTTTCATTTCTATCAGTTAAAGAAGTGGAAAACCCTGACACTGTCACTGTCTAAAACACTATAATACCCAAGTGGCCGTAATGTTTGAAAACACCATTTGAAGTTAGGTCAAAAAACAAAATGATTTAAAAGATCATTTACCGGATACTTAAAAAATCCCCTACTAAATCAATAGACTCAATATAGGGACAAAACAATCTCATAACATGTAGTAAAAGCAATAATACACCTCAACATGTTCAAAATAGTCAGGTCTTTTAACCTGCAGCCATTAAATCTATCAATGGTTTAACTGTTTGTTGTTGATGAATTATTTAGACAATTGTGTTTTAGAGGGTTGGGTAAAGTTACTAGATATTCAAACATGATAGACTCAAATGTCTAACATGATTGATAGCTATAGAATGTAAAGCTACAGGTACATCTGTCCACAAAGATTAGAAACTTTATCTTCTAAAGGAAAGCTGATTGACTAGTAAGAGGTTTTTTGAAAAAGGAATAGAGTTCAGCTAGCTTACCTAAATATATTAGAGTCCAGGGTCTAATAGATACGCAATAAAAGAGCTTAAAAGTATAATACACTGATAATTTCGTCCTGTTGAAGAAGTCCTACATCAAGACTTATTTTTACACTTATCTACAAAACTGTTTACTTAAAATACCATTGTTACTGTTATGTTTCATGTTCTTTTATTGTGTCCCTAGACTCTCATTGTCTCAGGTAAGCTAGCTTTCTAAGTCTAACTCCATTCCTTTTCATATAAACCGTTGTACCTTTATTTTTAATTTTCCATTACAATTACAGTTAGACAAATATTCTATTTCAAATAATATATTTGTGAGCTCCTATGTACCCAAAAAAGTGTTCATACCTCCCAAGGCCTACTGAAAAAGACAACAAAAACTGCTTCTGAATGTTCAATGGTTGAAAAACGTGTTCTACTACAAAACAGGAAACAAATTATAACACCAACCAAATAAGTGTAAAAACTGTTTAATTATACAAAATACATTATTACATATTTACAGTTATATATGTACAATCCAACATATCCAATGTAGATTTTATTTAAATGATTTTTTAGCTCTCCAATCTAAAAACTCATCGAAATCTTCCTCATCATCTGACGCATCTTCCCTCGCATTCTCGCTGGAACCTTTCGTTGCTACAGCTTGGACCGTTTCCTTTTTCTTCTCCAGATCAAGAACCCTGTAAATGTTTACCCTCTTATAAGTCGAACAAATCATTACACTTTCTAATCACTCGTTTTAATGTAAAATGAGAGGTGATTAAACCGATGCATAGATACTAAAAGACAGTAGACAAAAGTACTGTAATGAATGTTCAACCACTGGTTATTTGCAGTCACTTTATCGAAGAAAAAAATCCAACACAATTAACAAATACAATACCATATACCATTTAACAGACTTGGACTTAGACACAAACTAATGAGCTGCAAACTATACAATACATAGCAGGTAATTACCACACGTAGATTTTGAAGTAGCCTAGGGAGACGAGTTTTACTAGACAATGTCATTATGTTTAAATTATGTTAGCCAAGCAGTGCATAAAACTTGCATTTAGTTGTACAGTAAATGATTGCACTGAACGAAAGGTTATTATGTACAACATAGACTTACATCAACACTTTTGTACCTGTTGTTGCATCTGTCAGTTAAATCGTCCACTGCTCTCTCAGTCCCTTACAATTTAGAATTCCCGGTATCGGCAATTCGACATTCCTTCCGTTAGCTTGTCAACAACCCTTATCATGGGTAAGTTAAGCGGTGGAAGCAACTATGATATTTTATGGGGAAAATCACCAAAGTTTCAATAACTTTTGAACCGTAACTTTTACAGCAATGGGGGCAGTACACTTTTGTTTAGAGTTAAAAGTGACTGTATCATACCAAATTTGAATCAAAATCAAAAGAGCTGTTATTTTGAGAATCCAATTTTCTGTTATTTTATAAGTTTTTATGAAAAAAATCTCTACTAAAATCAAAATTAAAAAAAAGTTGGATAACACCTGGAGATACTACAGATTGTATGCCTGTCCCCAATCAATGGATTGTATGAACGGTGGACACACACTAAATATTCATAAAAAAAATTAGTAGCTCTGAACACACACATAAACACACACAGACATCAACTTGAAACCTTGTGTTGGGGTTACCTTAGTGAGGAGGTCGAGGGGCGGGGAGGGGAGGGGGGGCAGCAAACATCGCTGCCTAGAGACGGTAGATAGTTAAATATGTCACTGGAAGTCATCATAATTTCCTCTTATAAATACTTTCCCCATATACTATGTGTAGGGAGAGAAAGTAACACAATGTTTAAGTTAGAAGAACATACCTAGACCAATTACGCAGCTGTTCGTCTATCTCTTGTATTTGCCTCTCTGTTGTAGCCTCCTCCTGATCGTCTTCTATGATCTGTGTGGAGACGGACGTTTCCTCCTTGATCTCTTTTTGAAACTTCTCCCATTCTTCTTGAATGGGGTCTTTGTATTCAACGTTGCGTGCCTGAGGCAAACAAAGTTATCCTGTTTAGCAACATGAAGTAGGCCTACTGAACAAACTCGTTAATTTGGCCCCATTTAAGTTAGATCTCTAAATAAACCATACCGGTATGCACTTAAATAATATAAAAAGGCCTACAGATATTGTAAACATGTATGAAATACTCAATTTATACATATTACAGTCCAAAAATTCCCTGATTGAATTTCTGTAGACATTCAATGTGATTGCCAGCGGGAAATTCGCCTTGCAGTAGTTGGTGCGACTCCTGGGTAGGGCATATCGGTGTAGCTGACATTGGAAAGCCCTTTTGGTGTACCCATGGTGGAAGTAAATAAGGTGAGCTACCTCGTATCGTAGCCGGCTGCCGGCGGTGCGGGGAGAGGTATCGTGACGTCACCTTGGGGGCAAACAGCCTCACGACCATATCGAGCAGTGACGCTGCTCTAATAAAATTGTAATTTTTAATAGTAAGAACCGGTAAAAATTCCTGAATCTTTGCAAAGTCTTGGACTATTAACATAGGATGCTTATGATTTAAATTTTATATAAAAACCATTCAACCACCGATCAAACTTCAAACTTTTTCATACTAACACAAAAAAGTTAGTCGGCTACCAAATCACGTATTATTTGGTCAGGTTTATCAGACCTGCGGGAAAGTTTTAGGGAAAGGTTCTAATTTAACTGTAGTATCGGTTGGATTTTGATAAAAGAATTACTTGTTTAGCTACGAAGAATTATATCAAGCGGCAATGGAGCGCACGCTCAGCCGATGCCACCGTTTATTGGATAATAAGGCCACGCATTTATTATCCAAAACACTGTAGCTACATGTTATAAGGATATACTTTGTATTCTACATTTTTAATGAAATATGTAATATTAACATGTGACAGATATAAGTTTTACATTAAAATACGTTCCAACATCTTCGTTTTTATACAAATTAACTCTCTTTGATAACATTTCCTTAACGAAAAACATAGTTTAAAATTACATTTTGCAATCTTATAAAAATATTTACGACCTGGAAGTAAACATGTAAAAAATTAAACATTTCATCACCTCTGGATTTTTCTTAACTTTTTTAAGTTTCTTTAGAAATTTTCTTTTTTTGCCACTAGCAAAATTGCATTGTCTTAGCCTCCTGTTGATTTGTTTAATTTTGATACACTGCACAATGGGGCATTTTTGTAGAATGGAAAACTGACAACTCGCGGTGAACACAGAAACGAAAACAAAACAAACAACACGTGATCATCCCCCGCACACACCCCTGCATCCGAGCCAAAGTTGTGACATAGATAACAACCCCAGTGAAATAGGATCCTTTTTTTATAATGATATTACAAGAGTGAAACAATTTTATATTTTAACCTGATTATAAATACCAATCACCAAATTATTTTTTAACAAAGTACATTTTATTTTATATACTATGTTAAATACATTCCTTTGCGTTAAAGATAATTTATTATTTAAACCACTATTTGCAAACTTTGGTTTTAGCTAATCAATAACGATTTGCAATACTTATACTTTAAATACAATTTGACAACGTTAACCCCAGGGGCGGCTCCAGGAATATTTTTTTGGGTAGGCCAAACACAGGGACAAGACCGGGGGGTCTGGGGGGTATGGAATTTTTTTGAAAATTAGACCTGTAAAATCGAGTTTTTAGGCCATTTAGAGACATAATTAAGAGATTTTTTAGTTGTATAAAAAATGTTAATTGTAAAAAAAAATCACATTTTAAGGTCCGCTATCAAAAGGTACTTAGAAAAAATTAGTAAAATTGTATATTTTATTATTGCTTTGGGAATTATTGACATATGTAAGTTAATAAGTTATTGCGGAGCCCTTTTGACGGATCTGCACCAAACTTCACACAAACCACCATTGAATAATAATCCTAATTAAGCATAATGGATTATGCTTAATAATGCCTGAAAGTTTCATTACAATCTGTCGAGCGGTTTCGGAGTCCATAAAGGACAAACATACAAACATACATTGGATTTTATATATTTTATTAGTATCTAGGTTTTTTTTTAAATGGTTTGAAAACTGCATTTAATATTTTGTTTATCGTTATGTATGGATGCCAATTTTGTTAGTTTAAAAAATATTTAGAGAAATACACTATGATAGTTGAAAAACGGTGGTTTTTAAAGAAAACATTTATTGCCTATAACAGTCACATATCTATTAATAGCATTAATAATATTTTAATCAAAATTAATTATACAACATAGTAATAACACTCAGTTCAGAATTCAGCTCGCCTGATAAGTAAATAATTTGTGTGATCATTATTCAAACAAACTGTTTATTTCATTACAAACTGCAATCTTCTGCCTTTCTGAGAAGCAAATTCATCAATTACAGGATCAGGGTTGTTCAGAAGTTCTAAACTTGCTTCCTTTTCAATAGATAACACTCCCAAACTGTGAAGTCTCCTCCCCGTCATTGTAGCCCTTAAGTTTGATTTAATTCTCCTCATAGTAGAAAATGACCTTTCAGCAGTAGCTGTGGAGACGGGCATTGTCAACACGATCGTCATTACTTGTTTTAGTTCATCGAAAGATGGGAAGTTCGCTAAATCATTCAACACGTCCATGCTACTTTTAGAGTCTTTGAACATTGTTTTACCTAAATCACATTGTACTTTCAAGGTAGAAGTGAAGTCACAGTCTTTCCCGTGCAGCTCTGAGAAGTTACACAACACTTTTGGGTCTAAAAAATCGTGTGACTTTGGGTTACAGGCTGAAATACAAGCAATTGAAATGTCATTTTCGGCAAACCGTTTGTCCATTTCACATATCATATTATCAAGAATATGAAAATACTCTGCTTTCAATGTTGTCTTAGGATTTTCTTTCTGTGTGTATCGTCCCTTCCCAGTAGTCTCCATGACGAAATAATCATCCAGGCTTGCTATAATCAAAATAATCATGTTGGATTCTGTTTACGGCGGCCAGTGTCTCTTGCCCTTGCATGATCGATTTCACAATCATTGCACAATTGTGCAGTTTCTTGAAAAAAGGATTCAAATTTTGCGTCAGATCTCAACTCATCTAACTGATCTCTTGTTGCTTTTACGAGCTTTCGGCACTTGCCAACATCTATGGTCGAGGACTGAAGTTGTTTTGAGAGGATATTCACAATTTGTAAGACACCTTCAAGGCTAACTAGAGTGAAAGCCACGTTAAACGATTGTATTTGGATCAAGAGGCCCCGAGCCTCAGCAGCTTCTCTTGGCTTTGAACTTTCTGTACATTTTTTCAAAGCATTAATGACAGAGTCAAGATTGTTCTTAAAGAACTCTACTCCTTTATACTTTGCTACCCATCTTGTATCGCTGTGTTGAGGTACTGTAATTGATTTTTTGCCTGTTTTAGTCTCTTTGAAGAAAATGAAGAGTTCATGACGTAGTGTGGAGCTGGATTGGAATGCATAGATTGCTTCTAATAGGCCAATAGTTTCCCTAACTATTTGCACATTCTTGGCTACGTCAACCAAGACCAAGTTGAGTCTATGTGCATGGCAATGGACGTAAGGACAAGGATTTTTTGCCATTTCTCTGATTAATGTCTGCACTCCATTAAGTTTTCCCGACATGACGGATGCTCCATCAAACGACTGGCTTACACAATTCTTAATATCTAGACCATTTGATTCCAAGAAACTTAATATCTTGATCGCTAAAGATTCAGCTGTGAGCTCTTGTAACTCAACAAACCCAAGAAACCTCTCTTTTATCTTAGCCTGATGTATGTAACGGCAACAGATAGACATTTGCTCTTTTTTTCCTTCATCTCGAGCTTCGTCAACTATAATGCTGTATATGTTTGCTAGACTTAATCTCATTAACAATGCTGCGAGTGACTACATTTGAGGCTGCATCTAAAAGGTCATTTTGGATAGTCTTAGAGGTATATTTGGCATTTCCAGGAAGGTTTTTTAAATTACTATTGAACTGGCTATTTTCCATACAAAGCAAATTGACCAATTCTTGAAAATTTCCATGATTCATACTTTCGGGGCGGTATTCCAATAAATCGTTTGAGTCATCACTGTCATCTGGATCTTCATGAGCTTTCCCAGGTTGTACCTCCCTGTGTCCTCTCAGTGCAATGCCTTGGCGGGCACAGAACAATGCACTTCTTACAAGTGTCTTCAGAGTTTCTCTATTTTTTTCTACTGTTTGGGCCATTTGTTCATTGATTTTAACTGAAACAGCACCAGTTTTTTGAGAATCCAGCCATCCCTTGTACTTTGTTAAACAAAGCTTGTGGGCATTAGAGTTTTCATGTTTTTCTGCCATTTTCCTTATATTTTTCCAGTCATTATATCCGGCTGAAGTAAGAACTTCCTTTCTGAGAATAGAAAAATGTCGACAAAAAAAAACAAAATACTGCATCATTTTCAATTGAGTATTCTATCCAGGAATACTGAGAATACCAAAAGCTCTGGAAAGACCTTTGCTTTCCTGAAATATTTCGCCTAGGGAAGTTAAGCATTGGTTGTTTGGGTCCGTCAGAAGCACATGCACTAATATCTAGTGGACCTCTAATTTGGTTACTAGTCTAAATGGACGGTTCATCTACTTTTAACTTTTTACAAATAGGCAGATTAGTGTCATTGTCATCTAATTTGAAAATTGACTTTTCAACATTGGAACTGGAAGACTCACCATCATCATCACATGTAGGCCTAATGGACTGTTCATTGTTCGTCTTTGATGAAGATGAAGCCTTTTTAAATTTCACTAAAAACTTTTCCATGGCACAAAACGAGTTTAGAACACAAAACACTATTTAATAAACGAATGTGCACAAAAACAATATAAGAACCAAGTTCGAAGAGCAGAATAACGATTAACTTGTGTGTTACGGCAACATATAGGTTAAGTTTGTTGTTCGCTGTCATCGAGTACTACTGAGTGACACTGACAGTGGCGCCCCTGGCGGGCAGCGGCTGCGTGTCTCTGTAGTCACTAGTCAGTGTGTTGTTTTGTGTGAGTGCGAGAGCGGGAGCAGTCTGGCGTCAGACTCACACACTATCAACAGCGAGTACAGTACGCAGTACGACGAACGAGCGTCGAGCAGTCGCCATTGGCCAGTCAGGAGCATAAACTAACGCAGTTTAAAGTTTTAACTAAATCACTCGTAGCTATTATAACTCACTTGACAATTGCAAGTACCTATCTTTCCTTATTAAATATCATTTCTTTATTTAGGCCTAATATTAATTTTATAATATTAACCCAAATTTTGGGTAGGCCCGGGCCTACCCGGCCTACCCTCTGGAGCCGCCCCTGGTTAACCCTATTCACAGAGAAGACAATATTATATATTCTCTGTGAACTATTACGAAAAACCCATATTCAAACGGGGAAAAACACACTGCAGTCAACAGAACAACAATTTTTCACATAAAAATATAAATACAGGAATAAAAATATCACTGATGCTATATTCATGAAACTACATTATTTGTTGGATGGCAATGTGTGATTAATACTTGGCAACTGACTCGACTCGCAGCATGCGCTCCGATCACACGCTCATATAACTTAGCATATCTCAGGAAATAACGCCTCTAACGGTATATAGTTTGAAGGAAAGTTAAATTTGGATCTTTATCTAAAACTTTCCCGCTGGTCAAATGCTTCTAACCAAATAGTACGTGATTTTGTAGCTGACTAACTTTTACATGTTTAGTTTTAAGAAAGGCCAAGTATAAAGAGTGATTTCATGCTTAAGTTTTTAACAATTACAAACTATTTTTTCACAACACGCATCGTCCACTTATAATTGATGTTCATGTCAAGTTTCATACTTTTTCCTCAATTCTAACAGTTCAAAATGTTGATGTTAATACAGCAGTGTCATGCTGAGCTATATACGCGTGCGAAGCGGTTTGCCCCCAAGGTGACGTCACGTCGCGATGCGCAGAACGGTCTCAAACTCGTCCGGCTGAATAGCACACCTTATTTACTTCGACCATGGGTGTACCTGCAGGTCTACATTGTCGGTTACTGTTGGTCGTGTACCTGCATTGAAAAATGACATTTCATGAACAGTGTGTGAACATTAAGTTCTGTGTTTTACTTAAAAAAACCACCTAGTGAGACTCTTGGGTTGTTAATTCAGCTAATGGAAAAGAGGCGATGAAGAAAAGTCAAGTTTATGAGTGGCACAGTTTCCTGAAGGCCGTGAAAGCATTGTTGATGACCCTCGTAGTGGACTTCCTTCAACAGCAGTCAATGACGTAAACATTGAGCAAGTACAATTTCATCGATTGTTAATTCACGATTTTCATGCACAACTTGTCTTACTCGCTCAATGCTTACGACGATAGGTAAAACATACAAAATCATCTGACAGGGCATGTGTTGGAGTAATCTTAGTGAGGAGGTCGGGGGGGCACTGACAAGTGGGGGAGAAGGGGCAGCAAACTTCACTGCCTATAGGTGGCAGATAGTTAAATATGTCACTGGAAGTCATTCATAATTTCCTCTTACAATTTTATCCTAACAGTCCTACTACAAGTTTAAATTAAAAGCGATTCGTAAATAAAACTTCAAACATTTGGCCCTACATTACCTTTGCATCCATGATGGGATCGTCAAAGAATCCCTCAGGTAGTGGATCTTTAGAATCCACAAAAGAGGCATCTTCTGTATCCATTGGTTCTTCAGCCACTACTTCCGTTGGTGTCAAGACCGAGGACGGATCCACTTGACTGGACGTTGGAAACGACTCTGTTTTGACTGCTCCATTGTCGAAAAACCCTGGTGGTAGTTTTGGTGCTGGTGCATTTTTTAAGATACCTGGGAAAACAGCAAATAAGGTTGTTGAATTATTTAGGTTAAGTGCCACGAAAAACATATTGTTACATAACTATCATTAATTTGTCAGAGTCTTTACAGTTTTTGATGATAATTTTAGTAGCCAAAAGGAAATATTTTTCAGTATATTAAAATATATTTAATTTACGTTAATTTATCAAATTGTCTGGGTAGCTGAGTGGTTATAGTGCTCGTCTTCAAACCTGAAGGTCGCTGGTTCAATCTCAAGCAAGACTGTTTCAAGACCCATCTGCGATTCATCGTTGGGCTATCATTTAATGATGCTTTCTAACAACAGGTCGACCTTAAACAAGACAAGGGTTTGGACTGTTTCCATAAAAAAAACATGAAAAATGCCACTGGCGAGAAAAGGTACATTAAAGATCCAATTTTACGATTATCAAGTATATTACACAAGTGTGCGGCAGCACACTAAGTATGCTACAGTCATTATGATTGGTAGGCTACTATTAATCGCACTACTTTATGTTATGCTATTTTATAAATTTTTGAGTTCTACTATTTGTTTTAAAAAGTTGAAAAAGTCATGAAATGAATATTGACTTCTGTATCAAAAATTCTTTCAATTTCACTTTGAAACCTATCATTCTACATTTGTACAAATTTATAGCTTACCTACTTTTTTTTTCAATTCATGTGACAGAAAATGTATGGTAGGTAAACTAACTTATTGTGTGCTTAAAAATGGAACTAATGTAATGAACACCAAACAAATTTTAAGGGGAACTGCTGTCACAGCACAACCCCTCTGGGAATCATCAATCAGCCTCAGTGGCGGTCCCAGGGGGGGATGGGATGGATATCCCCCCCCCCCCCCGAAATATTTTGTATTTTATTAGCTAACATAAATACTGTTAGCTTGAGCATATTTTAAAGCTCAAATACATATATGTTAAATATATGTTTTTAGGCTTTAAATTCCACATTTTTCCGGGGGAGGGGAACCCCCGGACCCTCTTCTTTTCTGGGGAATATTCCAGACCCCCCGGTGGCCATCCCCCCCCCCCCAAAATGGAATCCTGGGACCGCCACTGATCAGCCTTTCTGGAAGTTTCTTAATTTAACCAGGGCATTTTTTTTTAGAGGTTGGCTTTTAAGCTTGCATTTTCCCGTCCACATAGAATACAGATCTGTGTGTGGAACGTCCAGCAAAGCGAGTGGTGAGTCGGTAGGCTACAGTACGAAGGTGAACTGTACTGATAAAATGTTTGCCGCAGTGATCAGGATCCAAACCCATGTTATCGCTGCCTTGGACCTAAAGTCCTTGATGCTACCAACGGAGCCACCGACTCACCTAAATGATAATAATTAATAATAATAATAATATTCATATAATAATAATAACCTAATTAATAGCGCTCAATAATATTCTGTTAAAATTGTATCATGTCCATGTGTCGGATTTGATGAGTGATTTGGTTAATATAACTACGGTAAAGTCACACTAGAAGATTGAAATGTAGCCTATACAGATCTAGTCCTAAAATTATATTTAAAGTTAAACCTACTAGGCACTTACATTTATATCAAGTTTACCAAATAGGTTAGGGCCTACTGTAAAAATAGAACAAACCTTTTAGTTTCTTAGGTGGAACAGCAGTTGGGGGCGTAAGTGGTCTTTTATACAGCTTGGGAGGGTCCGAGACATTTTTTGGAATAATAGGGGGAGGGGCAAGAAGCTGTTTCTTGCGGGCGATGTTGTCTTTGTGCTGTTTAGAGTTGAGGTGGACAATCCACACTGCATCACTGCGAACTACGCTCTCGCATACAATACATGTCAACGTTCCATCATCCTTATATGTGAGATAATGTTAAGGAAAACTCTACACAACTAAATATATGGCATCATAAGATTTTCTAAAATATCAAATTTTACTATCTTCTCCCTGAATAATAGGGCCCTTCAATAGGACTATTATTGCAACATTTAAAGTAAAAACGTAGTTTAGATGGGCTAATGTATATTGAAAAACCTTTTTACTGGTGTCTAATACAGTGTGATTGAAAAGTTCTGGAACGGTAATACATTTTTTATTACCTTTATAGAGAAAGTAATGAGACTTAGTACATCAATATCAATTTCTTGTTTTCAAGTTCAACATCCTGTGATATTTATTTTACCATACCGGTACTACAACTTTTGCATACAACTGGCAAATTGTCTTTTAAGTATTTTAGGAAAGAATTAAGCTTTTGCTTGTTTTCTTTTTCAAATAACTAAGAGAATTGTTAAATCATTGCCACAAATTAACACTTTCCAAATTAGGCCTATTAGTTTTTTTGCAAATTGAAATAAGTTATAAAAGCTAATAATATTATTAGGAATCCTGGGTATAAAAATGCTACAATACTTTTTAAATTAGGCTCAAATTTATTCCAGGTTGTTTGTTTAAATATGGCACGATATTTAAATTATGACTAGCCTATTTTACTCAAACTTTATGACTGCTTAAAATGAGTATTTTCACAAATTTATTGTCTTGAATAGAACAGCTGATCTTTATGTTCACATTGGGATTGGATGAACCCAATGGGCGATCAAGTCGGTGGACTTGTCGCTTGTGTGAACTGACCATGCGACCAAAGCACGACCCGACCAAACTCGACCAAGACAACAAATGTTTTACAAACTTCAGTGTCAAGATGGATGTTGACCTGTTGTGTTGTCAGGTCTACAAAAGGGCAGTTTGCAACATTTTATGAAGATCTACGTCAATATGAAGACAGGTTTTTTAATTACACAAGAATGTGTTAAAGCTTTGATGAATTACATAGAAAATTTGCTGGTGAAATCACGGGACAAGACACTTCATTGAGACAGTGTACCCCCTATAGGAAGTGAAGAAAAACCTGGTCGGGTCGGAGGCAATTCGGGGTTTGTGCGTGTCGTCCCATTACATTTTGTGCTATTTTTGGCAACGGCCAGCAGGTCGGACCCGACCAAACTGAAAAACTTTGGTCGTGCGACCAGGGTCCGACCAGCCGAACCAGTGCGCGCTGTTCCATTTATTCTTAATATAAAACTGGTTAGTCGGAGTCGTGGTCGGGATAGCGTGTGCCGGCCCTAATCTAAATACCGCATCACACTGTTTCAAGAGTGGTGAGTGGTCCTCATATTTTAGAGGTACCAATTAGGAATAACTTAGGCCTAACTTATAGAAAATTAATACAGTATAGGCCTATGTAGGCTAACTTAGCCTAGGCGTTTAAGCTACATTAGGTACGGTAACTAAGTTCAGGCCTAAGTTATAATCTATCGAAAGAAAATTTCATCAGATGGAGCCTTCCGAGCTTAGGTTCTCTGCGGAACTGTAAGTTACTGGAACTCGCTGTCTCTTAACTAACATGTCTATCCAGGTTGTCCTAGGCCAAGGCTTATAAGTAAGGATTGTTGTAGCCTAGGCCTTCTAAGATTTTGTGTGAGCCTAACTTAATTCAGTAGGATTATGTCGACCTACAGTGAACCTAGGCCTAATTAACTTTTTAAGAACAAGGCTACAAAGCATAACAAATTTTTAAAAGATGACCATGCATGTTTTGGATCCAACCATAAAAGGATATTTTGCTAATGGTGATTCAATTTTCCTTCCATTCGTGATCAATTTCTTTTTCTCTTGTGACATAAGACGCCGCAATTCATTTTGACTAATTTTATTTTTCGACATTTTACACTTCACTATTATAGGCTATGGATATATTTTTACTTGGATCAACACTTTACTAAACCAACACCATAACAACAACACTGTAGTAAAGTGCCTAATAATAATAAATTAAACGAAACTCAACGTCAACACCACATAATCTAACCCTAACCTCAAATCCTGTTTAAGTTTGGTTTGGTTTGTTTCTTCTGGTTCTGGGGGTTCTGGGGTTTGATTTTTTTTAAGACGGCGGCAATGGAATGGAAGAGCAGAATAAAAACTGTTGACTGGACCATTGAGTGGACTCTGTGGTGTGGTGTGAGTATAGCGAATAGATAGAGTGGAATGAGTATTGAGATTGAGAGCGAACGAGAAACGAGAGAATCTCGATTCTCGCTCGAGTTCGAGTATCTTCAATCTTCATCTTCCTTTCTGTGTGTGTCTGTGTTTGTTTGGTGGTAGTGATGGGCGATACGGACGCGTATCGCGATACAGCGATACGATACGTATCGGAAAAAAATATCGTATCGCCGTATCGAATCGGGCGTCTGTATCGCGATACGCGAATCGTATCGTCAAAAATATCGAAAAACGATACGTATCGTATCGTTTCCCCCCTCCCCTACCTAACCTAGAAACGGCAAATTTATATAAGTACCTGGGGACCAAGCTTTGCTCGAGGAAAATCATTAGTTTACTCTGAAAACAGTCTTAGTATTGCAGATACATATTTCCATTTCCACACTCCACACTGCTCGCCTTTACTACTTCCTTCACAACTCCCTACGTCTTGGACCTGTTTCCCTATCCTTCCCATAGCATTTTAGGATTGCAGATACATTAATGTAATTGCCACAGCCACAGACAGTTCCCACATTCTGCAGTCTGCAGTCTGCACTGCTAGTGCCAGACTGCCAGATAGCCATAGCACGCTAGTGGAAATGGACTGGGATGGGATCACTGAGTTATCAATCTAACTGGAGGTAGCACTGAATGTCAAAGATGCGTGTCGCCAGCCGCCATGTTTGCGTGAGGCGGGTGTCATGTCATAAGAAGCCATGTTATTGCTATGACAAGAAAACTCACTGCTATACCAACCTAGTTATAAGAAGCCTTGTTATTGCTATGATAAGAAAACCCACTGCTATACCAACCTAACAAAATCAGCGACACGCTTTTGACAGACTTCTGCCTTGGCTGTGCTACCTCCAGTTATAATTTTAGCTCAGTGGATGGGACTGGTACATTATCAAGTAAAAACCAAAAATACAGACATCAAAAACTCCTATTTCAGACTACACATCCACAGAGTACAGATTTTGCAGTTTGCTCGGCCTGCGCAAAAAAGCTTAAAAATATCGTTTTGACATGAATCGTATCGCTCTATGTGCCGATATAAATACAAATATCGTTTTAGGCGATACGATACGTATCGTTTTTCAAATATCGTATCGAAATATCGTATCGTCCCTCGCGTATCGTGATATTCCGATACGATACGATACGTATCGCACATCACTATTTGGTGGATGGTGGATTACTTTTCTCCTCACTCTCACCAATCTTATCATCTTCATCTCCGGCAAAACGCTACCTTGTTTCAAAATCGCGACAGAAGAAGTAGATAAATTTTTCAGAACTAATTGTCACTGTCAGTATACCAACATTAATTTAGGACTTTTGTCCTAAATGCGCATTTGTCTTTTATAGGTTAGAGTATTTTCCACCGTTGTAAGGTTAAGGTAATCTAATAGGTCCTTGTCACTCCACACTTGGTGTTTGGGAGTTTTTAAAGTAGAAGTAATGACTCAAGAAACAAAATATTACACTTAAACATTGTGTTTCATAAAGGTTTATTTTAGTTTAATCTTGTTGATCTTGTTAGGCCTATTTATTTCTTTGTAAGTTAAAGTCATGAACTCCAAGTTTGGGTTACTAAGCACAATAGTGTTGAAGAAATTTGCCCCGTCAAATTCCTATGTTTATGCTAACACAGCCAGATGTCTATGGTCAAAACCTAAGAGGTTTTACAACACAAATATTATCAAAAAGGCTCCTCTCCAGAATTCAAGTAAGTTAAGTAGGCCTAACTCAGGTAGGCTAGGCTAATAAGGGTAGACTTCCATTTCTGTTGGTACAAATAACCGAATGAAAATGAAAATATTGATCGATATATAGGCTTGATTATTCGATACGGTATATCGTTTGGTTAGTTAGACGGATATTTATTTATTTACGGTTAAGTCAGGACCGGATTTAGCATTTTGGCGCCCCTAGGCCCAAATATTTTTTTCCGCCCCCTGTTCTGGTAACAGTTTCTTTCCTACAAACCTTTATTAACCCTCCCAGTGTTACTTGACGAAAATTCGACAAGCAGCACACTTTGTGTAGTGTTACTTGTCGATTTTTCGACACGCAGACATCGTTTACGGCGAAGGCTCTATGACTGACTGAATCGGATTGAACTGGATCGAGTTAGGTATCGTTCTTTCCGTAATATTCTAAGCTTTCTGCAGAGGTCTGTCTCTAAGCGCTATTCATTTTAGTTCCGAAAATATTGTAGCAGACAGCTGACGTGCGTGTATTTGTAAACAGCTAGGTTCCCCCGGACCGATGACTGATGTGTTTTATTACGTTTATCATTGTTTTAGTGTTAAAAATCAAAAGTAGTGATATACGTGGTGCATTATAAGACGATTTAAGTGGTTTTGAAGTGCTGGTTGATGATCCTGAAGAAGTAGGTAGTGATATTGATGTAAATTATCAGCCAGATTCCTAGCTATGGTTAGGCTATGCATTCTTAGCTAAACGCTATGTACTGAAATCAGTTTTTTGCCCATAACTTATTTATTTGCAAATATACTTCCTTATATTATTATATATTTGTAATCCTCATAAAATTTAGAACAAAGTGGCTATTTTCAAATATTTATAGGCCTATAATTTATACAATTTCATTGAGCGCGAACTTATATTTTTTTTGAAAATTTTTGAAATTATATTTTTTTTACCAAAAATTTTTTTTTTTTTTAATTTTCCTTATGTTTTATATATATAATATTGAAGCCCATGATTTTCCAAACAAAATGGTATATAGAACATTAGAATTAACATTGTTTTAAGCTTCTCAGATCCGTTTTAATAAAACCTTGCAAATGCGCCAAAAATAGGTGGACATTAAGGCCTAAACTATGGACACTTGGAGGGTTAAAAACTATATCATGCCTAAAGGCCTATGTTAATTGCTTAGCACCACTCATCGTCAAAGTTTTATCATTGCAAGTTTTTTTTAAGAATTGTCTTTGTTACAGTAGCCTTAACAAAATGCCGTCTTAAACACTTTTGGCAATTTTATGCTTTTAGCAAATGCTCACGCTTGTGGGACTGAAACAAAACAATCCAACCCACAGAGCATTTCTGCAAAAAAGCATGTCCATTGATTCCAATTTCAGGCCCCAAAACATGAACTCCATAACAGTACGTAGACCTTTAGTAGATTAGTCATCCTTAGGGATTAGCTGAAAACAATTATTTTTATTTAAGTTATATGTTATTTAAACCTAGTTTGTCCAAAATAAAACGATCTAATCATAAACAAAAGGTCGTCCCCAGGTCCCCTGGTTATATTACAAGAAACTAAAACTCTCACAACGACAACATAGAATAATAGAAACAAAATTACTGTACCGGTACGTCAAAACTAACTTCCAGTGTGACCAACCTATATGAACTAGACATTAAAAACTATATTTAGGATTAACAATATGATAACTAGTCGACTTGAGTTTATGGTTAATCTATGGTGGTACTGCATTCAGATTATATTTGCAAAGCAATAGTCCGGCCAACCATAATTATCCTCAGGTCTGAGCTGAGGAGAAAATGACATCAAATGGTGCTTTGGAGGGGATTTAATTTTTATAAAACCTGTTGCAAACTCAGATATTTTTTCGTTATTGAATTTCAAAGATAAACTTATCGTATTTTTAATATTCAAAACGTATATTATATATTTTAACTTGACCCTGCAGTTTGCTGTAAACTGATCAAAAGATTAGTTAATACATTTTCTTTTTGTGAGGTATGGGTGGTAACGGTGTCTCACTCCGATCAGTTGTGTTGTGCCGAGCCAGCATAGTGGCAGTGCAAAGAGTAGCCTACAGTGGCAATACGGTGCGTACCGCTCGGGCGCTCGACAGCATCCCTACAGCCTACTCCCGTATAACCAATGTTCGTTATCAATGTTGTAACGAAATTGATGCGTAATGTTGAAAAACTGTTTATATTTTCTAACAGTTATTTCTTCTAATGAATTTAAACATTATAATGCTTTATTGGCAAGGGTTATTTTTTTATATCAACTCGCAAAATATGTTAAGCCATGGCTAATTATTTTATTTTTAGATATTGGAGAAATATTTTTCCTCTCGGCCGTGCGCCCTCTGGGAGCTTGCGCCCATAGGCCCGGGCCTATTGGGAAATCCGGCCCTGGGTTAAGTTACACCATTTTTACAGAGTTGAACATGCTGATGATGGATACCCTAACCTAACTTAACCAATCAAATGATATTAGGCCTATCTACAATGATATAAACAATCGATATTTTCATTCGGTTGTATGTGCCAACAGATATGGAAGTCTACCCGGCTATAATCGAAATTGATACAGTTAACATTTTAAGAAAGTTTCACGAAAATTAAAAATGTTGAGCAACAAAAAATATGTTACTTAGACCTAATTGTATGAATCATAATGGACAGACCCGACATTCATCCACCTTTTGTAACTTACGGTAGCCTTAGCACTTAACTAACGATGAATACACACACTAGATTCTTGATACTTGGTACAGATATGTGAACATCGATGGTTGACCTGTCGATCCCTAGTTTGTTGCATTTTTTCCATAAATAAATAAGTGAACTACCGTAGGCCTAACTAATTTAATCCAAGGCGTTAAAACCTAAGTTATGGATACCTAACGTAAGATTTTTCAACAAAATTTTCCCTGGCAAACAATTTTCCCATTAAGCTTATGCTTTGTTAACTTAAAAGTTTGACATTAAGCTTAAAAGTTTTTATCTTAGACCTCGGAATTGCAACATTGCCTTAAGTAGGCCTAACTTAGTATGTATTTTTTACTAACTTAGCCTACCTTTCAGCAGCTCCAATCCAATCGTAACAATCAAGGCTTTATGACCTTGCTCAGGTAGGTTCCTATCGTAAAATCAAAATTACCGGTAACTTAACTTGCCTAGGACTTAACTTAAGGGTTTGGTGAGTTTTAAAGTTGCTGAGTTGGAATTTTTTAACTTTGAATGGTTGAACCCACCTGCTGGTACCTACCTAAACGGTGTAGGCTTATATTTGGCCTGATTGCCAACTTAAAAAAAGATCATTAATAGGCCATCTATATTGTGGTGATTCTTAAAGAAAAATAACCGTAGCATATTAGACCCAAGTTCACTTGGGTGACAATTAATAAATGTAGGGATATTGATGGTATAACTTAACTGCAGTTTGTGGTTTTAATCCCTGTGGATTCTTTACAGAATGGTCAGTTCATTGCAACTGCAATGCCAGGGGTTATCACGCTTCAGCGTTTAGTTCCTCAGTAATCACCAGGCACTATTCGTCAACTCCTGAAAATTCAACTTCAGGGAATGAACAGCCAGAAAACAAACCTTCTCTTTACCAGAGGTTTAAGGCAATGTACAGAGACTACTGGTATGTACTGCTGCCGGTACATCTGGTCACATCAGCTGGCTGGTTCGGAGGATTTTATTATTTGGCCAGCAGGTAAGAAGTATTTGATTTTACCATACAATAAGTAGGCTTACTGTACATATAAACCTGAAGTTCACCCCTAAAAGAATCAGCAGGTACAGTTCCGCAGAGAGTTTATTTTATCCCAAAGTAGGCCTAAACATCGGATTGATTTATGATTTGTTTATGTTTTTATTCATATTTTATAAATAAAACTGACTCAACAATATTCAACCAAAAACTGTTTTAAATTTTTAATCAGAATCAGAATACTTTTATCGTCCTTCAGCATTACAATTAAGCAATAGACAAAGTAAAAAATGAAACATTACAATTATGTAATGGACAAAGTACAAAGTTTAAACTCTTTAAGTTTTCAAATCATAAATTTAACTAAGGACTAAGTTATAGCCTAACAGAGATTTTTACACAGCTAGTCATATAGGCTAACCTTAATTTAAATAATTTTTGGTCTAGAGATTTGCTGCTTTCATGTAGCTTATTAAACAACACCACATTAGTAAAGCTACTTTAACATTTTGACTTAAAGACAGGAACAAGACAGGAGTTAATGCAGGTGACTAGCAGTGGTGTGAGTACATAGAGCCCCCCCCCCTGCAGTACAGTTTGGCCAAAGATTCTGTGCGAACGGTTAGAACTGGTCGGGTCTAGGTGAGGGGGTTGGCGAGGTTACTTTTGTGAAAACATTTGTGTCTTGCTACTTAGCATGATTCACTCATCCCTACCCTAGCTCTGCCTATAACTGACACCCGTTTGTTTTAGTTTGGCTAGTAGCAACCCGCCTGCGTCAACAGAGATTTTGGCCAAACTGTACATGTCGATAGCCCCCCCTCAAAACATATCATCACTTATGTTTATTAGTTTCCACAGAGAAGTACATACAGTTTATTTCCACCTTTGTTCGCAACAGGACTAAAAGTACGGTATAGGTACCCTACATCAGTTTATGAGGAAAAATTGTGTTAAGTAGTTAAGGTTTTAATACTGATGTATTTCTTTTGTAATTGATTGACACTATTTATTTACCAATGTACATGAAATAAATTTAATGTTTTAAGGTCATAAGTTGAAAAATTTTTATCCCATAAAACTCTAGTCCAATCATGCTGGGTCAATAACTTGTTCGAATAGATGTAAGTTTAGGTCGTTTTACCAAATTTCATCAATAACGCTTACGGACACAGACATAGTATAAATATTTATATAGGCTACATTTGAACGGATTATGTCTTTTTGGCCTCTGAACACCTCAAAACAAAAAAGTGAATCTAGACCTACGGTAAACTTAATAGCCTAGCTTAAATTCCCTATAAGCCTAAGTATGGAATAATCTCTAAAAGAAATAATAAATGTTGTTCCTTCTAAAAGACTGAATCCCAACACCGATTATTTCTTTTGTGTTTAACAGTGTTTTAGCAATTTTCTATTTTCAGTGGAGTCGACATTGTTGCCCTGCTAGAACAGCTGAATGTTAGTGACAAGCTAATCAATCCTCTACGTAACGGACATGCAACGACTGGTTACCTCGCAATATCATATGCTCTCTACAAGATCGCTACCCCACTCCGGTACACCGTGACTCTGGGTAAGAGTTTAATGTTTTGCTATATTAAATTTACCTTTGATGCTGCCTGAGAGTTCTTGGTAAGACGTTAGTGTCACCCTATGCATTTACCAGCTTGTGTGGTCTATATTTACAATAAAATGTTAACATATGCGGTCATTAGTATCATGGTAAGGTAGATTGGACGACGGACACAGGGCAGAGTGACAACAAGAAGTCTTTCTTACTTGGTTCCATTTCTTGGACTGTGGTTTTTGGCATCTGGATTTAACGGTTGAAGGTAGTTTAGATTTTCTTGGTATATGGTCGGGCGGCGCTTTCATCTGTGTTGTGTTGCCGGTTTATTACTGTGTTTCCGAAACATGAAAGACCTATAATTACCTATAATATAGACCTTGTGATAATATAGATAATAGATACATTTTTAAGAAGGCCCCTGAAGATACCAAACAAGGTGGCAAAACACTTAGGCTGACACAAACATCTTCTAAAGCATCAGGCACCAACAATAAAGGTAATTCTAATATGATTCAAGTTCTTGAAACTGGGATAACAAAGAACAAAAATAGTTAAAGTTTAGTCATTTTATGCGTTAATTACTTTTAAATAAAACAGTAAAATATAAAAAAGTTAAATTTCTTTTTCACAACAAAATCATTAAAAGTAGGGATGGTCAAGTCTCGAAATTTCGGGAAATTTTCGGGAAATTTAAAATCTCGTTACACGAGACGAGATTTCTTTTTGGCCGAGATTTTTATCGAGACGAGAATTTATTAAAAAAAATAAATAAAATAAAATAAATAAATAAATAAAAACGCCTGCAGAAAGTCAATGCAATACCCGCAATACAGGAGCGTGTTGTAGTTGCGTTTCCTTTGCGAAGGCGTTCTTATTTAATTAATTCTTCAAATGTAAATATTACTTTTATTATTTTAATAAAATTTGAGAAGTTTTGTTAAATGTTAGCAGTGTGAAGAATGTTTTACTACTATAAAAAAAGTCAAAACAAGTAACTATTTTATAAAAATTAATATTTTATTTTAGGATAAGTTGAACTCTATCCTAACTGATATCACTATGTTTCCTAATCGTAGGCATTTTTAATAATTTAGGCGTGATTAATAAAAAAATGTTATGCTGATGTTTTTTAATAAAAGATTGTAAATATTCTTGCCTATTATCATTATTTTTGTATTTAAACAGTCATCTAACAATGTTACAAAATCAGGTAAAAATTCCGAACGTGCATTTCCCGTTGTGTATGAGAAGGGAAATCCCGTCTCGATCTCGTCTCGTCTCGAACTAAAAATCCAATCTCGTCCATCCCTAATTAAAAGTTTTAGCCAAAATAAAAATGTATCTTCTGCTAGATCAAGACTAAATGAAAATAATGTGTACCGTAACACTCATTATGATTGATAAACATAGGTCTTCACACGATACAGTGAATTAAGAAGATTTAAAAATGTTCAAAATGTTTATACAACTTAATGTAGGCCTACAGTCACAGTCCTTACTAAAGAAATGAGGTTTCGTCAAGAACTTAAAAGCAGTAATAAATATTTTATTGTGCTTAACATTCAAAAATCGTCTGCATGATCTCTGATTTCATTTGAGGGATTTAAAACAATCTCTTTGTTTAATGCCTCTTATCAAAAATTGTTGCAACATCTGGCTAATCTTTGTTCTGAATTTTCTAGGTGGTACAACAGTGTCCATAAACTTTTTGAAGAAGCGAGGATACATAAAACCCATGCCTAGCAAAGAGAAATTGAAGGAAATATATCAGGATAAGAAGGAAATACTGAAAGGAAGAGGACAGTCTCTCAAAGATAATATGATGCACTCCCTGAAGCCGACAGAAAGTAAGAAGAAGAATCCCTAGCAGATTAGATTAGTTTATTTTTATTTGTTTTGTATATAGATACAGACTGCCATTATAAGAGTTTATATTGAATGTTAGTTTTTTCAAATATAAAAGGACTGTACAGTATTATACTTGTAATCTAAAAGCATGCTTTTATCTTTTTCCACAATCCTCTTACAATTTCTCGTATTGTTACAGATTAACTAAGCCCAGCAGACTACATTTAACTAAATAACCGTAGGAAAATAGTGCAAGTTCTCCTCGAGAATTGTAATAGCGAGAAATATATTCAGCTTAACCAGTGTGCAAAGGTGTTTCTATACAATAGGCCCTTGTGTATCATTAAGTGGCGATAAATGTTGGAAATGTGTTTTAATTTTTTTTTATTTGCTTATAAATTAAAAATCTGTTTGAAAAGTTCAAATTTTTAGTAATACACATAAGATTTTACTAAACAAGGATACTTCCACTGAAGCTTAGTTCCTCGTTAGATATCATAAGTCTTACAGTGACGATGACAAGTAGTATAACATTTACCATTACACATTAGAAAGATCATTGATACAGTTTGATAATGTTTTCCAGCCTTCTTAAATCACGAAGATCGTCAAAGATCTTGAAACTTGAAATTGCTAACAGAATCCAATAGAAAATCTGTAACATTGTCTAAATCACACAGGCAATTTTCATTTAGTTTATTCTAGTAGTGAGGGCCTACTTTTTGGTGAGTCGGAGGCTCAGTCAGCAGCGCCACAAACTTTGAGCACAAGGCAGCGACATCATGTGTTCGGATCATGGTACCTGCCACAGCATGTTATCAGTAGGCCTACAGTTCACCCTTGTACTTACCCTTGTACACCCTTGTACAAATGAACCGTTCATCATAAACCCCTTGCTTTGCTGATACGTTTTACACACAAGCCAGAGGCCGTTGCAGACAGGCAGTGTTGGGAAGTAGCGCGCCACAAGTAGCGACGCTACAGTAGCGTGCTACTTTTTTTGTAGCGTTAGCTGTAGCTACGCTACTTTTAAGATTTTGTAGCTTTAGCTGTAGCTAGCTACATTTTTAAAGTAGTTGTAGCGGAATTTTAGCTACTTTTCTCGCTACATTAACATTGTTTGAGATAGTGATTTTTATCATAACCTCAACCTTACGTGAAACAACCTCTTTCAAACTGAGATTTTAAAAAAAAATTAGGCCTTTCTTGGCTTCATACAGCTGGTTGCAGCCGTTTCATTCCCTATAACAACGTTGTGTGGACATGGAGGCCATTAAATGAGTGTTATCCACATTTTTGGCTCTCATTTCCTTAATTTACTACTCTATGATTACTGTCAGATAAAATAAAATCGCTAGATGCAGACGACGTTTAAACGTTACCGGTGACAAGAAGAGAAGCTAAGCTATTGAATGCTTGCAAGTGATTGACAGGAAAATTAGTAATCAATTTAGTTTGTTTATTATACCGATAGTGTTCAAGAATAAACCTTAAAATAATGAGAAAGCTGGTCTATCAACCTTTGCTTCAGCTGTTGATTGTGGTTCATCATCACAAGCCCTTCCTTGGTTAGATTACGAAGATTTTTCAAAGGTTTACTAAACTAACAAAGAGGAAATTACCTGATGTGATTTAAGATATGCCTAGACTGAATGATAATTGTAACGAAAAAATCTCCATATAACATGAAACTTTCATTGAAAAAATAGCATAGTTTGCTCCTGGTAACAGCTCTTGTATAGGACTATTAATTCCTAGGCTATGCTATGGTTTAAGACGAATACCAAGTTCCAAGTTCAATTATTAGGAATATATCTGTTAGTTTAGTTCTTGCAAGAACAAGCCTACTATAGCCAACTTGTTACATAGCCAAGTAGGCCTACATGTTATTTTTACTTTACAAAATTCTACATGTTTAAATTAAAAGCCAATTTCTGGATAAGTTAATGGATACTGTTTTCTGTACCAACTAGGTTGAAGCACAATTTGCCCTATGCATAATGACAATAAAGGACGATTTCTTGACAAATGAAAAGTGTTATTCATAGAACAAGTAACTTATCACTTTAAAAGTTTATAGCAATGTCGTTTTTAACATTAAAAGTAAAGAAAGGCAATAAACTCCAATTTCAGTAGGCTAGGCTCTGTAACACAAAAATGTATTTTTAAATAATTTTTTTACAGTTTTATTGGTCTTAATTGTTGATATAAGACATCTATAAATGAATCTATATTAAAGAAATAAAATGAGCTTTTGAAATATAGTTTGGTTGTATGTCCTTTGAACTTAATGAAATTTACATTTAAGATGCTTAAAAATAATGCAATAGGCTATTTAAAAATAAGTACTAAATATGATGGGACACCCAACTATTTGGTTCTGTTGTTGTACTTAATGTTAGGTTTATAATGCCAAAAAATTAAATACAATCTAGGAATAATTTGTTTTCCAATTAATGTTACATACAATACTGAAATTTTTTTAATGTTTGTTCAGTAAAAATGTAGTTGCAATTAATTTTACATTTACCTAATGTGCATGGTATAAAAAGTAACGTCTTTGGAAAAGTAGCTAAAATTGTAGCTGTTGCTACATTTCATTGTAGCTGTAGTTGTAGCTAGCTACTTTTTCGGAACTGTAGCTGTAGCTGTAGCTAAGCTACTTTTTTGGAAATGTAGCAGTAGTTGTAGCTAGCTACATTTTAAAAGTAGCTTCCCCAACACTGCAGACAGGCAAATGCAAGTTTTTAAAGAGTCCGTAAACCTCTAAAAAAACTCTTCTTGATTCTTCATAAATCCCTTAAAAGGTAGTCAACATAAGGATTGTATGGGTGGTTGTTGAGGCCAAGCCAAACAAGATTTGTCTCTAATCTAATCGAGTAATTGGTCATTTGTGGTTAAATTGAACCATAGATAAATCATACTCACTTAGTATAGGCCTATTTGTCATCCTTATGGAACACCTGAAGCCAATTTTATTGTTAGTTCTGTATGTCGTATTGTAGAGGTTGTGTTTTGTTTACAATTTAATTTGTTTCCTTTTATTTCAGTAATTTAAAGCATCGTTTAGCCAAGTGAAATAATCTAATCATAAACAATAACTGGTCTCCTAGTTATATAACCTAATAGTAATAAAGCACAAATCATGAAATTACCCCTAAAATAAAAGAAACACAATTTAGTCTACACTAGCGACCAGTGTCGACGTACATGAACTAGACACGAAAAACAAGCTTCAAAATTAACAATTGGATGAGAGGTCTACTTGTGTTGCTTAATGCTTAGTCTATGATTGAACTAATCGGGTACCTCCTTGTGGTGTATCCATGTGGTTAGTTTATTAATCAAACTCTAGATGTTATTAAATTGTTACCCTTTTTACATTCTAATTCTAACTTTTTCATTCATCCATGCTCAGTAGATGAAACCTATTTTCTGAATTACTTATTTGGGCTTAAATTTGTTACACCCCTTTTGTTAGTAATTCTTGACACTTAGGGGTCCAGTATACACAAGTTTTTTTAAAGCATTTTCATTAGTTGTTTGTAACCAGTGGTATGGCCAAAAACGTTCCTGTGCAAGATGGCTCACATTAGTCTCAAAAACACATGAGTTGCTTATTGATTTGTGAAATTTTGGAAAAAGCAGAGTGGGAAAAGGGTTTCTTTTTCAAAAAGAGTTCTTACAAGTTCCTGTTCATAACTACACCACTGTTCATAACTAACTGTAAGTTTAATGTAATGAAAATCAATACAGATTGAAAGATTTTAAAATATAATAAAAACATGGCAGTGATTCATAAAACGCATCTTTATTTAAATTTCACACTTTTTGTATTAAAATATAGCTTAGCTAATCCCACAAAGATGTTGTGGTGTGACACATCAGGATCTTGAAAGGGTAGTGACATAGCTAATATAATTTGTACAATAAATAATTTTAAATATTACCCATGCTGTACTATTGAAGTACATGATGACCTTTCATACTAAAAAATATTTTTTAAACTTATTTACAGTTTAGTTAGTCTGATATATCTAAAATCTGCTTATCATACAGTTTCATATTTTGCAACACTACGCTAAGTTTTACTGAACAACTTACTCAACAAACTGCTAAGTAACAACCAAGAGCAAACCATTATAATTTATTTTAGAAAATTGTTTGGATACTATTTACACAATTTTTTACCAAAATTATTTAATTTTCGACAGGTGAATTATTTTGTTAAACCCTTGACTATTAAGTAGAAGTCGTTATAGTAGTGTAGTTAAATTTAGCCACCTACATAGTGCCCTGCTATCGATTATTGTTTTCCGACAAATATGCAAACTTTATATAACCAACCTAATTGAAAGGAAAACTTGTGTGGAATAGGTGGCAGCGTAAAAGTTTCTTTATCTAAAAAAATCAGTGTTACGATTTGCTTCATTTTTTTACATTGCTTATAGGCCCACAAGGAAATAAGTAGTGTTGTTGAGTGTACTAGAGTAGATACTCAATGGAGGTTATACATGAACAACGTTCAGAGTAGCGTCAGTGGCCCGTACTACTCCACCTCCGGCATGTTGGTAAGGTAGTTTGGTTGTTTTTTAATATTCCTTTCACTGTAGGTTGTGAAATGTCAATTTTGTTGATGAAATTTGTTAGTTTGGTCGTAGTTTCATTGTTTTATAATACGTTTTTAATAATAAATGTTTAAAAGGTTTTTAGAGGCGCACTACCAACCGACCACCACGGCACAGGCGTCAGCGGCCCGAACTACCTCGCCAAAATCGGTAACAACTATTAACATAACTATTAACCCTCTTATACGTGTATACTCAATGGTAGTGTGTTGGTTTTTGACATATTTTCATTCTTGACAGTTTGCTAAAGTTTTGTAATTTTGAAAGTTTATAAGTAGACAAAATTTTAGACTCAAAAGTCAAAACCTTAACAAAGTTAACTGAATAATTAAAAAGAAACAAATTAAAACTAGAACGCTTTTAAAATACCTTTGACAGTTGACAGAAACACGATTCACATGTTAAAGTTGTTGTCATTTCTAGAACGAAAATGATCATAGTTCAAGTTTGCTGGTGTAAATTATTGAGTTCTGTCGAATACACACTTTTTCAACAAACATAAAAGGACAACTTATCAGGAAATGTAAACTTATCATCTTTTATGTTATCAAGAAAGTTATAGTACAATTAGTCACATTAAGAATAAGCAAACTTTGACAGCACACTATGTACGTCTTATTCAATTATATTCTGTTTAAAAAATCTAGATGGGATATGTATTCCCGTTTCCCCAAGTCAATGGTTCAACCCTTATTGGTGCACCCTTTATAACTTCTAATATATACAAATGAATCCTTTGAGTGCAGTGTAGCTGCATTATCACAGGGTGTATTGGTAGTCAGGCGCGCGGCTGCACTCAGAGTTATGCAGTAGGTTTCCGCAGCAAGACCAGTGTCTGCGGCCAGGGTGGCCAGCATGGCCGTGACCACAACCCCGGTAACCTGTAGAATCATTATCTACTTGTACAAAAATGTTGTGTAACTGACAAAAAACATATTTAAGTATGAAAATGAATAAAAAGGGTTTGTACTTTTCATTTACAAAGAATGTTAAATGCCCAATGGTGCATTTAATTAAAACAATGGAGTAATAAACTGGTTAATAGGCAAGTAAGAGCAAGGTAAATTTAGTCTTGTGTATTTGTTGCAAAGAATTGTGATATTAAGACATGCAGAATAAATAGGCCACATTTGCATCTGAAATATTTACACTGATAGCAATTCGAGAAAATCACAGGCCTATAATTTACTCTGATGCTCTTTGCACTCAACACTGACTAGGTCATGTGACTTATGCTGTAATTCTACTTCACTGTCTTAAGGTTACTGCACAGACAAGTTAAAGTGTACAAGTCCATGGTGACGTGCAGTTGAGGTTAAATAAAAGTTATAATCATGTTATAGGTCGGCCGCTTAGAAAAAGACCTCCTCCAGCATTGGTTTAGCATTAGCGCGCAGGTCGTTTTCTAAGCGGCCGAACTATAGTAGTTAAATAAGCTTGATGAATTACTATTCATTCAAGATTAGTGGAATTTTGTTATTACAGTGGTATTGGTGGTGATAATTAGACATAAGGGACAATATTACTAGAGTGTCAGAAAACTTCCTGTAGTGTTATCGCAAGTTAAATTAAAATATAGTTCAATAAGACAAATACTTTATTAGGTAGTTTTTACAATAAAATCCAGATCCAGAATGTTTACCAACAAAAACTAAACAAATAATATTCTAACACCATATGTTAATAAACACATATGAATAACAACACATCTCCCCTTTAAAGATCGAACCTCCGGGTAGGTTTGAATTGTCTTGTTGATCTTCTTAGATTCGCTAAAGGTTTTGTCTGCGATTTCCTTGCAGGATGATCGAAAGGTTCTGATCTTCTGAGGTGTTCTGAAGGACTGGTCTGCAGTGCTGGTTGAGAGTGGTCTGAAGGCATAGTAGAGCTAAATCTTTGCAGTGATCTTCTGTTCCTCCGCAAACAACCATCTTGCGTTTGAATTATATAGGATCGAGGTGCCGGATGTTTGTTTAATATAGTTCCTTCTTGATTCCTGTCCTTTATATGGACTTGAGCTCCATCAGGTAGAGTAGGCAATTCTTTGACTCCATGTCTTTTGTCAAAATAAATCTTTTGACGATCAATTCTTGCTTCTTCCTTTTCCCTTAACTTTTCAGCGTCTACCAGATAGGGTCTTAGTTGATCAGACATTATTGGAACATAAGTGCGGATCCTTCTCCCGAAAAGTAATTCCGCTGGACTTTTCCCATTCTCTAGAGGGGTTGCTCTTAACATAAGTAGCATTTTGTAGGGATCATCACTTTTTTCTAAGTGGTACTTAAAGTTTTTTACTTGCGCTTCGATGAAGCCGTTGCTTTGTGGAAATTTTGGGCTTGATGTAATCAATTTAAATCCATAATCACGACCAAGTTGTTTGAATTGACAGCAGTCAAATTGAGAACCACAGTCTGCTCTCACTGTCTCAGGTACACCATGACGTGCGAAGATGGACTTTGTATATGTTACTATAGTGCCCATTTTTAAGTCATTTAGTCTAGCAATTTCCATAAACCTAGAATAATAGTCTGAGATTAAGAGATACCAGTGACCTTTGCACTTCAGCAAATCGGCACCCACTATTTGCCAAGGTCTGTCCGGATAAGGGGTTGGTATCAGCGGCTCTGCTCTCGTAGCGCGATTTTCTGCACATATCTTGCAATTTTCTATTAGTTCTTTGATTTGTTGAGAAAGACGAGGCCACCACACAGTCAATTTTGCAAAAGATCTACACTTTGTTATGCCTTGATGTCCTTCATGAATACTTCTTAGTACATTAGCTCTTAGAGAATTTGGTATTATAATACGACTTCCAAAGAGAAGTATACCATTTTGCTCACTTATATCTTCTCTATGATACCAGTAGGGCAATACATCCTCTGGAATCTTAGATTTTTCTGGCCAACCTTTCACACAATACTGTGACACATGCTTTAGAGTTTCATCTTTCATAGTTTCTTGATTTATTTCTCGCAACTTTTCATCCGAAACAGATGGTAGGGTAGTGTCAATATTTTGTATATAAGCAAGGATTTCCTCTGTAAGTTCCCATTCCTCTTCAGAGTTCTCTGTGTCTCGAGACAGTGCATCAGCCAAAATCAACTGTTTACCGGGCGTGTAGGTAATATCATATGTATATCTCATCAGTCGGAGTCGTATTCTCTGAAGCCTGGGAGTAATATTGTCCAAGTCCTTTATCTTGAATATGGAGAGCAAGGGCTTATGGTCTGTCTCAATATGCAAATGCAGCCCTAAAATGAGGTGTTCAAATCGTTCACACCCCCATGCAATCGCTAGAGCTTCTTTTTCTATTTTAGCCCAATTACGTTCGGCTGATGTCAAACTTCTCGAAGCATAGGCCACAGGACGTTTAGTTCCATCTTCTTGAAGCTGAAGTAGTGCAACTCCAATACCGTATGACGAGGAATCCGCTGAGAGGAAGGTTTCTTTAGAAATGCTGTATAAAGCGAGACACGGTTCGGACATCAATGACAGTTTAATCTTTTCCAAAGCTTCGTCTTGATCAGGCCCCCAAACAAATTCTGTATTTCTTTGCAGTAAAGCATGTAGTGGATGAACTATGGTCGACAAATTATGAATAAACTTGGCTACGTAATTGACAACACCTAGAATTCTCCTTAGTTCTTTAACATTAGTTGGCGTCTTGAGTTTTTGGATAGTCTCAACACGAGAGGGATCTGGCTTAATACCATTTTTAGTTACAAGATGACCTAGTAAACTGATGCTTTCATGCCGGAACACACATTTTGATCTATTAAGTGTCCAGCCCTTTTCCTGGAGCCTACACAAAACACTATGCAAATTTTTGTCGTGTTCTTCCATATCTTTCCCGTATATAGTTATGTCATCGAAATGGCAAACAACACCTTCAAGCCCTTCAAGTGATTCAGACATTTGACGCTGGAATACTTCTGAACCAGTGGAAATCCCGAAAGGAAGTCGTAAAAATCTGAACCTTCCAAAAGGTGTGATGAAAGTAGTCAAATATGAAGCTTCTTCTGTTATGGGTATTTGCCAATAACCCGAGTTAGCATCTAGTTTCGAGAACACCTTAGCACCATCTAATTGTCCCAGAGTGTAGTCTACAGAAGGCACAGGATATAGTTCTCGTTTAACACTCTCATTAAGTTTAGTAAAATCCACGCAGAGTCTTATTGAATTGTCCTTTTTAGGGACAATGACAAGAGGTGAACACCAGTCAGTCGGAATGTCTACTCTCACGATAACACCTTTATCCAACATTGCATCCAGTTCTTTTTTTACAGCATCTTTATAGGGTAGGGGAACACATATTGAGAACCTGCCTTGGAACTTTGAGAGAGTACGGTTCAGCGTTTGGCTTTAATTTTATATTATAATGAGCTTTTGTATCACCAAGACCGCTGAAAAGTTCAGGGTATGATGTAAAGGGATCAAATGAACCAGTTGAGTTGACTCGAAACATCCTTTTAACTAGACCCAATTTTTCACTAACTTCGTTGCTCAAAAGGGTTCTATCAGCACCAGATATTACATAAAACTGAGACTTACAATATTGATTCTTGTACTGGATTGTACCCTCGAATACGCCTAAGATATTAAGGACAGATCCGTTAGGCCCAATTAAAACTTTGTTACTTGAATTTAGTGGGTACATAAAAAATTTCAACTTATAAAGTGATTGGGGCAAAACACAAACGTCAGCTCCAGTGTCTATCTTAGCTTGAATACATACTCCATTTAGTTTAACTTCAGCTGACCATTTTGCTTTAGGATTCTTTTGAGGATTAATAGACCCCACAAATTTGTCATTCTTAATAACTTTATCTTGAAGAGGATTTGAATTTATTTCCTTGACATTTTTGAACTGGCAACATTTAGCAAAATGGCCCTTCCTGTTACAGTTTCGACAGAAAATATTCCGAGCAGGACATTTTGGTCGTTCATGTTGAGCGTTACCACACCACTGGCATTGATTGTAGTATTTGTTACTGGACGAATTGGAATCAACTGGAGGTTTCTCAGCAAATTTAGTGCCCCAAGTCCTTGAAGTGACTTTATCTGCAGTTAGTGCATGTTCAGAAGACATGGACCTCATTAATGATTGTTGCATTTTAACCGATTCGGCTTGCTTAACATTTGAGACAGCAGAATTAAGTGTTAGATCTGCATTCATTTGTAGTTTTTCAGATAAACTTTTGTCTCTAATCGCTACAACAAGTTGATCTCGTATAGCCTCATCTTTATAAGAAGCAGGAAAATCGCATCTAGAAGCCATCTCATGAAGATCATGAATCAAACTTTCAACACGCTCTTCCTCATGTTGAACCCTAGTATGAAACATGTACCTCTCATAGATTACATTCTTAGAAGGAGCAAAATATGTATCAAATTTTGTTAAAACAGTCTTGAAACTTTTACTTTCCTCAGATGTCAAATTAAATGATTCAAATATGCTTTCGGCCTTTTCACCCATCATATATAGTAAGGTGTTTACCTGATATGGTTCTTCTTCATTGGTGAGCCCAGATACCGCATGAAAGCGCAAGAAACGGGTTTTCCATTTAGACCAGTTTTCTCCTTTAAAATCAAAATGTTCTGGGGAAGGAACACTAAAACCTTTCATCTTTATGTACTGTATTGCTAAAACAATAAAAAAAACCCGCTGCCACCATGTAGTGTTATCGCAAGTTAAATTAAAATATAGTTCAATAAGACAAATACTTTATTAGGTAGTTTTTACAATAAAATCCAGATCCAGAATGTTTACCAACAAAAACTAAACAAATAATATTCTAACACCATATGTTAATAAACACATATGAATAACAACACACTTCCTCCACCAGACTTGGAGGAATTTTGATTAAATCAAATGTGACGAAAATATTTTACACAACACAACAAAAGTGATGGTTCTGGGAATGGGATTCAGCTATGCATCCTGTTCGCCATTCTAAATTATTCTATTATAAGGGAATGATTTGTCAATCGATGTTGGACTTACCCGGCATCTTCCCTCCGCAGCCACACTGTGCCTCCTTGCTTCCGTTGCTTGAACAAAACGTACAACAGTGGTACACTCCGGGGTGTGGACGAAGTGTAGACACGGACACATTGAACGGACTTCCCTGCAAGAAACATTATCTTAGTGTGCAATAGATTTAAATTAAAAATGGACCAATCACACTCACTGAGACCAATTAACCCTCCGAGTGTTATTTGTCGATGCTTCGACACATAACACACTTTGTGTAGTGTTTTGTGTCGATGCATCGACTCACAAACACTGTTAACGGCGAAGGCTCTATGACTGACAAAATCGGATTGAACTGGATCGAGTTAGGTATCGTTTTATTTGGCAGATTCAGAGCTTTCTCCGGAGGTCTGTCTCTAAGCGCTTTTCATTTTAGTTCCGAAAATATTGTAGCAGACAGCTGACGTGCGTATTTGTAAACAGCTTGGTTAACCTCGCACCGATGACTGATGTGTTTTATTACGTTTATCATTGTTTTAGTGTTAAAAATCAAAAGTAGTGATATACGTGGTGCATTATAAGAAGATTTAAGTGATTTTGAAGGGCTGGTTGATGATCCTGAAGAAGTAGGTAGTGATATTGATGTAAATTATCAGCCAGATTCCTAGCTATGGTTAGGCTATGCATTCTTAGCTAAACGCTATGTACTGAAATCTGTTTTTTGCCCATAACTTATTTATTTGCAAATCTACTTCCTTATATTATTATTTTGTAATCCTCATAAAATTTAGAACAAATTGGCTATTTTCAAATATTTATAGGCCTATAATTTATACAATTTCATTGAGCGCGAATTTATTATTTTTTTTTTTTTACATTTTCCAAAATATATTTTTTTTACCTAAAAATTTTTTTTGAAACAAATGTTCCTTATGTTTTATGTATAATATTGAAGCCCATGATTTTCCAAACAAAATGGTAGGATAGAACAGTATAATTAACATTGTTTTCAAGCTTCTCAGATCCGTTTTAATAAAACCTTGCAAATGAGCAAAAAATAGGCAGACATTAAGGCCAAAACAAGGGACACTCAGAGGGTTAAGAGAATTGGAAAAGAGAGCCAGTTTTCAAACCAAGTAGTTTTCTTATATTTAAAAAGAAAGTTAGGTGGCTGGTTAGGAATTATTTTGAGGAGGGATACTTTAGCTAGTTTACCTGAGAAAATTATGATTTTTCAGTCAAAATATCAGTATCATGATCTTTTACTATGGTAACTGGATGCGTAGTCACAGTTCAACCTCCCTTAACATTAACATATATGCATTTTGGGGCGAGAAGAATCTTTTGTTTTTTGTTGATCAGCCAACGGCTTTAGTTAAGCAAACTTTGACTCACTATTAAAAAGGTTTAAATACCTGCTATCAAGCAATCAATTTAATTGCAGTTGCAACTAGTTTCGACTCCTATGTGGAGTCATCATCAGGCGGTACAAGGACTTCTTCTTTCTTCATATGAAGAGCGTCATATTTAACACGTAAAAATAAATAAACATTTACACACGACACAAAACACGTTACGGACACGAAACATTTACTGATCAGTTACGACAACAGACTGCTTATGACGCTCTTCATATGAAGAAAGAAGAAGTCCCTGTACCGCCTGATGATGACTGCACATAGGAGTCAAAACTAGTTGCAACTGCAATTAAATGGATTGCTTGATAGCAGGTATTTAAACCTTTTTAATACAGGGTTGGTACGGTCAGGGAAAACCTGGAAAACCTGGAAAAGTCAGGGAATTTTGTTGGTCTGGAAAAGTCAGGGAAAAGTCAGGGAATTTTTGAAAAAATCTGGAATTTCTCTTGAAAGACTACATTTTTTACAGATATGCTACATTTTGCATCTATGTCTCTCAATACTTGGTCAAAAACATCAAAGTTTGACGAAAACATCGATGTAATAAAAACATCGTGAACCTACCATCGATATAAAAAACATCGAACATCGACAGACATTCTATCATCACCCTCTGATTACTGGCTTTAATTGAACGCACCGAGCTAGTTAGTACCGTGATGCGCGGAAGGATAGGCCTACATTCATCGTTTCAATTTCAATACGATACTGAATACAATTCCTCATTGAATTTATACCAATACTGATTCAACCTTTAATAAACTAAAAAAAAACTGCACTTGTAGGAGTTTATAAAAAAATATTTAGGCCTATCCTGTTAGTTGAAACATTTAATAGTTTAGTTTGGTACTACTTTTTGTCTCCGGTACAAGCATGGTAGTTATTTTTCCAATATCACATGTTTCTTTCGATATAAACCGATGATATCGTAAGCAAAATATCGATATATATCAGTATCAGAAGCACCGTATCGTCTATCTGCCAGTGTCAAGTCAAGGCCATGTAGAACATAAAGTGTGAGGGTAAGTTAGTTGGTACTCTTACTTTTCCAGATTCCAGATGTTTAATTTAGTCTAGTAAAATTATGATTTGACCTGGGCAAAATTGCTTCATAAGCCATTGAAGTGGCGTTCGACTCAACAAATGTTACTTTACAACACATCCAAAATCCGACCATGGGAAAGTGTCTAAAAATAAATTTTAAAATGGCGGCTATTTTTCTTAAGAGCTATTTATTTTAAAACACCAATAGTTGATAAATATGGGATATGGCCTTGAAACAATGCAAGAAAACATTGTATGGTTTTACTTGGTATAGTGTTGGGTGTGCAGAGTGACACGTACTAAAAGTTGCCAAAAGTCGGTCTACAGGAAACCCCCTCAAATGACGATATATCACATGCATTTTTATGCATATTTTTGAGATATTTACTTGAGATTACCACCGATATTTATTGGGTGGTTAGTCCTTTATTTTGATAGGGAACGCATTTTGGCCGCCATCTTGGATCTGCCATATTGGATATAAATATAATTTTTAAACGTAATGGTAGTGTTGTGACACATCATTATAAATTAGATTTTCATGATGATTTCAATGCTAAAATCCGTTTTTAAATATTTTTTTTTCGTTTTGAAGATCATGTTCAAACAAAAATTCTCCCTCATCTATTTCTTATGGACGTTACGTAGTTTGAAATTTTTTTTTAGATAATTGTTCTTATATCTCCAGTTTTTACTAACGCTTGCAGTTTGTTCTAACCTTAAAATATTCAGTAATAAAAGTGTTTTCATTTGAGCTATTGATCATTAAAATCGGGCGTGTTATAGACGAGCTGCAAACCCTAACACAATATTAAATTTAAATTTTTAGAAATAAGTTTTTATTAAAAGATGTATATCTCGGGTTGCTAATATATCACCAAGTTCTTTCTCGTCTCAAATTACTCAGTGGATGTTTGGCTTTAATTTTATGTATCACTTAATAAAATCTGACAAATTTAAAATGAGTCATGAATCTTTATGTAACAGTAAATTATTTCTTTTACAAAATTTGTCTTTAGTTTAGGGCATTTATCCCCAATTCTAATAACTCCCAATAAGTAATCCATAGCTAAAACAAAAGTCAATAATGTTACTATTTATTTAAGACTGTAAAGATTTTTGGGAGTTATTTTGAATTGGGGATATATGTCTAAAACTAAAGACAAATTTTGAATAACAAATAATTACTGTTAAAATAAAGATTCATGACCCAGTTAAAATTCATCAGATTTTATTAAATGGTTAATAAAATTAAAGCCAAAGATTCACTGAGTAATTTGAGACCAGAATGAACTTGGTGGCATATTAACAACCCGAGACATACATCTTTTAATAAAAACTTATATCTAAAAAGTTAAATTTAATATTGTAATAGGGTTTGTAGCTCGTTTCTAAATCATCCGATTTTAATGATCAATAGCTCAAATGTAAACCCTTTTATTACAGAGGATATATAACTTTTTTACAACTGGAGATATAAGAAAAGTTATCTTAAAAAATTTTCAAATTACGAAACGTCCATAAGAAATGTATGGGGGTACGACTTTTTGTCTCATAGTCTTTTTGCATTGCCTGTTTTGATATGTTTACTGTTTCATACTATAGTATTCATGTTTACTGTTTCCTATAATAGTTATTTTTTCACATATTTGTTCAAACGTCTGAAAATAATGTCCTTCTTGGTGGAAAACTCGTACTACCGAACAGTATCTGATATACCGCCAACCCTAGAATAATTATTGTTACATTTTTTTTCCATTGCGCAACTGTGGGTGTAAACATAACGAAATGTCTTTTTCTGCTTCTTGAGGGTAGTGCCAGATCAATGAATGTAAGAACATTGAAACAAAAGGATAATAGTTCAAATAAATAGTTTGTCCAAGAAAACTTATTAAATTTAGTTCTTTTTTAGTAACGATGGAAACTAAAATGTACATACAAATATGTCCTTGTCGTTTAAAAAAAGTCTATTCTTGTATTTATTTGATATTTCAACATCCAATCTGATGTTTTATTTATGTATATGTGCTTTCCGTTGTCCCATACCGCCAAAAGTCTTAAAACAAATATCACAAAAATTTGAAATTTTGCCGCCATTTTAAATTTTATTTTTTAGTAATTTCCTATGATCAGATTTTGGAGGATTTTGGATATGTTATAAAGCAATATTTTCTGTGTTGAATACCACTTCAATCGCTTGTGAAGCAATTTTGCCCAGGTTTAAGGGTAATTTGTCGTATTTTGCCTGGGCTAATTCTTTTCTTATTGGTTTTATGAGTAAACTATTTAGGCTTAAATTTTTTCTAATAATTCTTGATTCTGACTATTCGATATCGTCTTACGGTATACCTGGAAAAAGTATAATATCAGTCTGGAAAACCTGGAAAAGTCAGGGAATTTCATTTTCCAAAATCAGTACCAACCCTGTAATATTATTTGGCAATCCGGAGGCTACGTCCACAATGAAACTTTGACTCACTACAGACCTTTTATTGTTTTGTGGTTGCTATTTTACAATCAAGTCTGTCACAGTTAGTTAATCAAGTCTGTCACAGTTAGTTAATCAAGTCTGTCACAGTTAGTTAATCAAGTCAAAGACTAAACGTATCATATTAAACAAACTTAAAACACTCTCTTCAATAGTAGGCATTACAGTTCAATATATCAAACAGAATCCACCTGTTAAATTTTGACCATTCCTTTTTGTATAATGCTGTATTTTTGCAGGAAAATGTATCTTCATGCTTAATCTTTTTTTAATCACCAACAAATTTATCAGCTGTTCACCTGAATATGTTTGCCCTGAATTGTCACATTGAGACTCATGTTGCCCGAAGCATCTGGAGTGAACTCTACCGTGTAACTTCCATCCCCTCTGTCTGTCACATGCACTGCTACTCTCCTGCAGAACACACACAAGTTTAGTTAAGGAGCAGGTTTTGCCGATGGGTGCGTTTATTGTGTGTGTTATCAATACGATAAACTAGGTCAACAATCCACAGATAAAACATATTTTTGTAGCTTAAAACTGAGTCTTCCACCTGATTGTCAAACTATAATCGTTGTAATGTTGTCAGGAGTAATGTAAAAAAATGAATCTTGATTCAAGGGTTATTGAACATAAAATTACAACTGTTACACCCCAGAAGCTACCAAACATAACTTAGTCCATGTGTATAGTTTTGACTGATATATTATAAAATGGAGCAATTAAGCTGGTTAAACTCAGTCTTATGTGATAAAAAGTGGATGAGTATGACTGGTCATGCATATATTCTAGAAGAAGAAAATGAGTACCAAGTTATAATGCTAATATGTTTTTATGAAACTATGTATGTGTTTTATTTCTAGTTTGTGATTAGATCTATAGTATTGTAATAGCAAACAAATTAGGTTAATATTATTTTTTAATGTTTAGAAAATCTCGTAGAGTAAATGATTACCTTTTTTTTCAATACATCGTTGAACATTAATACACTACGGTTCGGTCAAGGTGGCATTACACTTTGTAATACTTATAGCTGGCTAAGATAAAAAAGAAAAGATGACAATGTCCTGATGATTTTCTGATGTCAAATACTGACCTCTAACTCCAACACCAGCTTTTCATCATACCCAATTCACTATATAACAGATTGTGAACTTGGGAATCTATTTTTGTCACATCGGCTATTATAAAATGGGAGGATATATAATTTCAATTGTACATAGTATGTGTGAGTACCACTATTACTTTTCTACCTTTTGAAAATTATGGACTCAAGATACAACAAACAGAATTCTCTCTCTATTTGAAACTCTTAGCCCCGTTTGACACGAGTTTCATGTCTTTTTTTGCACCACATAGAAGAATCATTTCTCAAATCCTTTAAGCTTTTCTCTTAGGTTATTCAACAAAATCATCACGTTTGCTAGGTGTAACTAGGTAGTTTAACATTTCGAAGATCAGTGTGTAATAGGTGCTCACAGTTCACTCCACTCGATACTAAAATCACTCTGCATTCTCATTTAGTAAAAGCATAGACAAGTTGAATAAATATGGATTGTCAAAGGAAGATTCCACGATGTGCCGCTAGGAGTGCCGTGTAGCTACGGAGCACACCGCTGCAGGCGAGGAGCCGTATGCTACTAGCAGACACTGCAGCTGTGTGCACCGTAACTACACTTCTAGCGGTGGACGCCAGAACATATGCTAACTGCAGCACTGCTGTTGGTCAATATTTATTCTATTTGTTTATTGTAAAAGACACGCAGAGTGTATTGTTGTCTTGTGATAAATTGAGTTATTTGAGAGTTGCGAGACTCAAGCTAAAATTTGACGTATCTTAGTAAAGAGATTTTCTACACAATGCCATTTACCTCTGCGCAGCATCTCTGTATCTCAACTCAGCTGCAACTCGAGTTCCTCCGTGACAGATCGGTTGTTTCTCACAGTCGAAAGTACTCAACGTAAACTCGGCTTTCTTGTGTATTCTGCAGTTGAGTAATCCTGTAATGGCATAAATACTTTATTGTAACCTTGATTTTGAAAAGTAAGATATATATGTTGATATAAAAATATTTACTGAACAACTAGTAATGTGTCGATACAAAAATATATTGATTCTCAATACTGACCTGAAAAAAATGGATTGGTATACCATTGACCAGGTGTCTCCAACCTTTTTTACTCTAAGCTATTCCATCATAATATATATGAGGTTACATTACCTTAATCGCCAAGTGATCCATGTAGTCCAAATCTAGGATTACGTATGTTTCGACGTCAATGCGTCATTGTCAAATCTACAAAAACTTTTTTAAACCATAAGGGTCACGTCATAGTCTTTCCGACACACACAAACGAAACAATAACGGACAAAAATACATTTAAGTAGGCCTACTAACTAATTTATGGTAAACGGTCGTCACAACACAGTACAGATCTGATCGCATGCCGAGACTCGACTGATGGTGCGCCGCTTCCTGGTTTATCAACTTGGACTTTGTCCTCTGCCACCTGTATCATCCAGTTGTGAGCTCTTTAGTTTTATGAGGGATTCGAACAATGCATTTGACTGGAAAACACATTTGTCATTCGACAAATTTTGAGGCTGGTTCCGTGTAGCTTTATAAATCTCATAATTTTCCAATGCAGTTAATCTATGTCCTTTTCTGCAAATGTGTAATGGTTTTAAATTACTATTAATATTTGTATAGTTGTGGTTGCTATTGGTCAGATGTGCTGCAAAGTTAGATTTTTGTACAATGGTGGCTTTAGGCAAATGTTCTTTAAACCGCTTTTCGAATGATCGTCCTGTCTGGCCTATGTAGATCTTCTCGCAGTCGTCACAAGTTATTTTGTATACACCGCATTTTTTATTTACATCAACTGTTTCTTTCTTTTTGTTCAAAATATTACCAAGCTTGTTCGATGTTCTAAACGCAACTACCTTACCATGTTTTTGTAGTTCATTTTTTAGTGTTAAGGGAAAATTACTGCCAAATTCAGTTGGTACATAACCTGTTATATTGCCTGTGCTTTTTGAAATTGGGTTTTTGGATCTTTTGGTCTGTTTGTTTATTAATTTATCTATGATGTTAGGGTTGTAGCCGTTGGATACTGCGATATGCTTTAATATGTTTTTCTCAGCTGTGAAGTCTTCAGGGCAGAGTGGTACAGATAATAACCTGTTTACAAAACTGTTATAAGCGGCTAGTTTATGGGACATAGGATGATGTGAGGATGCGTGAATGGTTGTATCAGTTGCTGTAGGTTTTCTATAAATCTTGAATGAGAAGTTGTTGTTGGTTTTGATGAGAGTTAATTTCCAAAAAATTGAGTGAATTGTTCATTTCAATTTCTGCAGTAAATTTCATATTTGGGTGGAGGCTATTCATGAAATTATTAAATACCTGTACTTGTCTAGGATTACCGTCATATAATAGTACTATGTCATCAACATACCTGTAATAAAATACTATTTTATTTCTGTGTCGGTTGTTGTCAGACCATAAATGTTTGTTTTCAAACCTGTTTAGGAAAATTTCCGCAAGAATGCAGGACAGGGGTGAGCCCATAGCTAAGCCTTCGTGTTGTATAAAATATTCGTTGTTAAAACAGAAATAATTTTGTTTCAATACTATTCTCAGTAATACCATTAATTCTTCACGTTTTACACTGTCCAATTTAGAATGTTTTTCTAGGTTATCTTGCAAAATATCCAAAGTTTCGTTTACTGGGATGTTTGTGTAAAGGTTTGAAATGTCTAATGAGGCCAGGGTCTGTCTAGGGTTAAAACTTACGTTCTTGATATTATCTATTAGTTCTAAGCTATTTTTTAGACTTCGACTATTTTCTAACTTCAATTCTTTTTTAATCGTGCGTTCGAGTTTTTTGGCTAAACTATAAGCAGGTGCAGGCATGTAGTTTACTAAAGGACGTATCGGTACTCCATCCTTGTGAAGTTTAGGAAGTCCTTTTAAGATTTGGGCCTGAGGGTTAATTGGTTTCAAGTATCTAATTTCATTGTCAGATAAATAGCTTGTACATTTTGATATGGATTTGTTGATCTCAGCTGCAAAAGATGATGTTGGGTCTTTTGTTAATCGTTCTATGTTGTTTTTATTTATAAATTCAGTGACTTTTTTGTTATACTCTGAAATATGCATGATTACTAATGTGTTCCCTTTGTCAGCTTTTGTGATATGCAGATTGTTGTTATCTATTTTTTCTTTGATACTTTTGAGTGCCCTAACTTCATGAGCTTGTGAACCATATTTCTTAGGCTTCTTCAAAATGAGTTTTAGTTTGTTGTTTACCATTACGCGTGCAATATTTTGGTTGTTGGAGTCAGTTATAGTTTGGATTGCTGATTCAGCATCAATTACTTCAGAGAATAAACCTTTTGGACCCTTTCTAATGAAATTGTATTTTAAGCCCTTGTTCAAAAGAGCAGTCTCGTCTGGATCAAATGTTATATTTGTTAAATTAATAGTTCTAGGGAAGAAGTTATGATTTATTTTTTCAATGTCATGGACATGTTTCTCGTTCAACAAAGTATTCAGCTTTTTTATTTGAGTTCTTTTCTTTGCTGCAATATCTTTTCTTATTTGAGGTTCTTATTTGAGGTCAAACTATTCCATCAGTTTGACTTCGTAAAAAAATCATGTATTCGACAGGCATCAGTAACATCAGCTCAATCTGTCGGTGGCTCACATCAACTACGACGATTTTTATTTAAAAACCGGTGACAACTTCAAAGTGAAGATGGAATGTCTATTTGTATCAATAGTCGAATAGTCAAAGATTATACTACACCAAACCCTGTCTTTATGCCCTTACACTAAGTAATTTTGGAGTGATGTGCTGTTTTCTAATTAATGTTTATTAAAGCAGCAATGGGAAATTCTTACTAACCGATTCACATGTAAGTCCCTCTAAACAGATCAGATAAATACCATTTCAATAGTAAAAAAGATCTTGCAAAGAATTATCAAAAGGAAATTTTATTACGAGAGGTGTGCCAGTCTGATATCATCATTGACTCTCACGATCACAGGAGACTCGTCGTTGACATTTGTGATCGTGGCAAAAGCGCAATTTTTCAATCTCACAATTGATGACATTTGGGTGTCGAAATTAGCATGGACTTTTCATGATCAGTTCTTGAAACCGATACGAATGTATATTAATCGTCGGAGCATTGAGAATCGACTCATCCCAATAAACAACAATAGACTAAAAAAGACAATGTACCTTCGGTCTGCAACTCGCAATGTGCTGGGGAGACGGCTTGCGTTGTGATCACTCCGAAGATCGGGTGTCCGTTGATGAGGCCGGCTCTTTCCTCGGGAAGGAATTGTAGACAGTCGGACACTTTGATGGCGGCAATCACTTCACCAGCACTACACCATTCCAACCTCTGTAGAAGCGGGGTGACCAGAGTCAAAAGCTGCAAAACAATACAGACGAATAGGTTAATTGTTCACACTTGGAAAGAAAACAGATGGTTTAGTTAAATTAATTATGTTTGATTAATTTGTTTTAAGGATCTTTTTTTTAAACTTAAGTTACAAAAAAATGTTTAAAACTTTGATATACACCTGGTTTAGAATGTAAAGTAGCCTATGTGTTTCTAGATTCTACTGGAAAACATAATCACTGTTTAAAGCACATCTTTTCAAAATGTTGAATTATATTAAACTTAAACTGGTGTTTGTAAATTGGATTGTTGTAAACTTTTGTCCTAAACATATGTTGTAAACTCCGATGTAAACACGGTTTCAGATAGTATTAAAAATAAATTATTTTATTTTCTGCAGAAATTTCAAAGTGTTAATCTACATAAAACTGTAGTAGGAATAAATATTTTTGGGGGATTGAATAAATTAAATCAATCTTGATGAAAACCAACTACACAGTGTTTTTATCAAAACAACCTTGCTTTACTTTACAAAAATCCATATTTTTTGTTGGGTATAACTGGATACGGTATCACACCTTTCAAGCGTAATAGTAGATTATTGACAGAAACATTCATTTCCAGAAGTACTTATAACAAAACCGAGGGGGGGGGGGAACAACTACAGTTGTGGGTAGATCCACCATTGGTTCATACCCAAAAATAAATTAAATTAGTTTTTCTAATTTTAAATTAGTTTAACAAGTAATAGGTTCCTCCTGCTTTAAAACATTGGGTGTATGCTGGTTTATGAAATTCCCATAAGTTAATAAAATCTGTCCAATAGAAAAATATGAAGATGGGAAAAATAGTTATGTTCATCTGGGTATTCATTTAATCAATATACACCTAGCGGTACATACCTATTTAAGTTACCTATTCATATGGGCTTTGCTGGGTGTAAAATATCAATTTCTAAGGTTTGTACAGCCAATGATACAAGCATGTAGAGTTTATTACCTCTACATCCGAAGCTTCTGCAAGCAGTTCCTGTCCAAAAGTGACGGCATGGCTTGTGTGTTCTGAACGTGTGTGAAGCTCGTCGTGATGAGAATGAAGTGTAGTCAGCTTATTGTTACGAACCTAGAAACAGAATATGTTTGTCAAGCAATATTAAAATTTGTAGTATTGTGACAAAAAAATTCAAGGAACACTTCTTTTCCCTGTAGCAGCCAACCTAGGTATTCATTAAATCAGTGGTGGCTGGTGGGTCAAATACTTTGCTATAAGAGTAAGATATAAAACTAAGGAAGAATAGTTTAAATGATCATCACCCCCTAAATTATTAATATATATATGAACAACCTGGTTAACTTCTTTCCGAAGAGTTGCTCGATGTTCCTCAACCGCAGCTTTGTATGATTCGGCGTATCTGTCTACTTCTGACTCCACTTCAGCGCAGTGGTTCTAAAAATGTATAAAAATATTGTATAATAAGCACTCGGCTAGTTAACATTTAAGAGTATATTTTACTGTTTTAATTTATTATCCAAGCTTAGGTATAGCTTTCTGAATCTTAGTGTTATTTGGAAACTCAAGTCATGTTTAAGTAATTGTTATGGCAGTTTAATTCTTAATCCTACTTGTGATGTAAAAAATCATTGTAGAAATTTATGGAGGTTAAATTGAATCCTCTAAGCATATCAACCTTGAATGAGTTCTATATTTAACATTTTATTTATATCCTAATAAACCCTATGCTTTGGAAAAATCGTCCTACAAGCATGTTTGACAAAATTACTATAAAAAAATATATATCCAAGTATCTCATGACCCATACAAATTGTATATGTAACCTCAAAATACCAGAGAACCAAAAAACAAAGTAGTCTAGTCCTACTCCTACTCTTAACTGACATTGGCCAAATTTGAATGAGTTACCTTAATTCTCAGTTCAAGGTGTTGTAGACGATTAAGGCTGAGATTTGCTTCTTTTGCGATCGGCCTGGTTTTGTCAAGTGCATCGCGTAGAGTGGCTGCGTACAGTCGTGCAGCCCGTGCAGCTGTATCACAAGGGTGGCCTCTGTGCAGCAATACGCAGCAGTCTCGACACACCACCACACCGCAGCGTCCGCAGAACAGACGTAGTTCTCTGTTAGGATGTGCATCGCACATAACCTGCATGACAGAATATATTCTTTAATAATAAAGGTTTAATTAATTATGAACGGGTTTTACTAAGTGTTCACCCAATATGGTTGTGAAAGTAAAAATGTAAAACAGATGGTGACTCAAAGAAAGAGTCGTGAGCCATATACATAAGCAAGACATTTTTATAAGTGAGTTTGATAAATCCCAACAAGTTGGTTAAATATTGAGATCAATTGAATTTACAGTTGTTTTACTATGTAATTCTAAGTTAACATAGTATAACAGTACGTACAACAACAGAGAAGTACGATAAAGAGGAAACAAGCTTATGGGACTACCATTACCATGCGCTTTTAGCTGTGGTATGTTGGGGCGGAAATGTACTAGTGTTAAACTAGAAAGATGGCATATTTGTATTTGTTGTAGTACACAGGGTCTTCCTACCACGTGAGCAGTAGTACCTGATGGCCAGGAGGGAAAGGAGAGGGTACAACAAAATAGAATTTGGTTCTAGACACCAGTGACTGGTACTAGACACCACTAGACACACTTAAGTTTAAGTGTACCATTGAATGTATATTCTTGACTAATAATTTAACTGACAGAAACATAAATTACGGATACCTGTCTGCGGAATAACGCAGCATCCGCAACATCTTTGAGAGAGGTAATCTCATGATGGGCACTGACTCTCTCACGGAGATGTGCTTCACAACAAAAACTGCACAGATTAACCTGGCAATCCTGGCATCTGTTGGACGCCTGCAAACAGTCGAAAGTCAGACTCTACGTAAAAACTTTCATTATACAGTACCATACTAGTAGTGATCATTGCTGTTTAAATTTCACCAATAGTAAATTGTTCCACAAAGCTGGGTTTATTATTTTACACAACAGCCTCTGGTTTGTTTGAATGAAAAATGCTTAATTTACCTGTGTACATACCACATTTGACGATTTTGTGTCAAAAATCTGTTAAGCACAGTAACTCGGAATATATCTATTTGAATACCAGAAAATTTAGTATGGTACGAACCGCAACAAAAAATGTTAAAAATAGAATCATACACCTGAAATGGCTTTACATAATTTGTTGAAGAGATGACTATAAGATTGTGCTCAATTTTGTAACTCTTCTAATAGTGAAATAAAAAAAATTATGTATTTGATTCCTTTGTTCAATCAACAAAACAATCCCTATATACAAAACAAAAACAACATATATAACAATATATACAAATATAAAATTCTCGTGTCACAGTGTTTGTCTGCAAACTCCTCCGGAATGACTTCACCGATCGTTATGAAAATTGGTGTGTAAATTCTGTAGGTATGCGAATCGGACGTAAACTATTTCCCGTTTCGAAATTCTTAAAAGGGCTCCGCCCCAGTGGCTCTGGAGTTTCCCATGTTAACCTTATGAGAAATGGAATTAATGAATCTTAACAGCTGTTTCAATTAAACAAGTTGGTTCTGTTCTATGATGTTCAATAGCATTAAAGTTACAAGGATTACCAACAGGGTGCAGCACTATTATTTCTTTTACATTATTTATGACAACAGCTAATTTGCAACCAAAAGGTGAGTGAGCGTAGCGAACGAACTTCAACCTGGAGGCGAGTTAGCGTAGCGAACGAGCTAACCTGAAGGCAAGTGAGCGCAGCGAACGAGCTCCAACCTAAAGGTGAGTGAGCGTAGCGAACGAGCTCCAACCCAAAGGTGAGTGAGCGTAGCGAACGAACTTCAACCAGGACGTGATTGAGCGATGCGAACGAGATCATCTTGAAAATTAAACGTAACGGTACTTTCTTTCCATCGGTCTGTCTTAGGGGAAACCTATAACTTAGGCGATACGAAGTTCGCCGGGTCAGCTAGTATACAAATAAAATGTTACTATTTTAACTAGGTAATTACTACTTTTAGTATATCATAAACAATGATTCCCTTATCAGAGGATTAGTCTAATCATATTTGGATGGTTTATTTAAACATTTTTAGAGTACAGTAATAAATACCAGTAGCAAGAGTTACTTACAGGAGCCTCAGTAATGCATATGTCACACGTAGGAGCTTGTTGCATCGATTGCAGGATTCGGTTTTGTAAAACGTAATTTATTGGAAGGCCGGAAATTCCTCCATTCGGCAGTTTGTTTTCTGATTTGCACAGAGGACAAATGACCACCTGAAGCTGAAATTTTTTTAATTTATTAGCACTCATAGAATTTACTTAAAACATTATACCCTTTAACTGGTAAGAAAGTTAAAAATTCAGGGGTGCAAGTGGTTTTAGGTTTGCAAATAGGAAAACCCTAGCTTTAGCTCAACCATTTTTGCAACCCTTACTTTCAGTTCTCCTTTAGTGATTTTTTATTTTGTTACTAATTTGAGATTACTGCCATCCCTTTTCACAAAATGAAAATATTTACAGTCAATCTTATCCTTCTACGTTTTAACTCACACACTATATCTGGATCCTTGTAAATCTCTCTTTGTTTATGTTAAATTTGTAGCAAAAATAGTTTCAAATTTCTGCTACACATGTCAACAAACACAAAATGACTTCAATCGATGGTCAATCAAAGTCTAGATTAACTCTTATACTTCTTAAAATACAGTATATACTCGTATATCACCTACCTGGCCATTCTGATCACTAGGGTCAGTTCCAGACCAGCTGCTCGGTTCACTTTCGTATCCAGATGCTCCGGAACCGGACCCCGAACCAGATCCGGAACCGTTGAGACTTCCTCCCCCTAACCTTCCACTTCCTCCTCCTTTGGTCTCTGCCTGGATCTTGGTTTGGCTCTGAGAAGCTACGGGAACATAAAATTTCATAGTTAAATTGGCTCTTTTTAGTGTAAAAACTTTCTCGGTTAACCCGGCAGCTCTTCGGAAAATATCAGTCTTATAGGAGCAAGCAAGATCTATTTTTGAGTGTAAAACATATTCAAATATGTTTTTACTAAATTATTATAAAATATATTTAGGCTGAACTTGATTTTTAGAAAATTAGGTACCATAATTAATAAACTAAAACTCAACGGAAGCTAGGGCTACTTCTCCCAATCCGTCATCAAATACAAATATAGAATTTTGTTTAAGTACAACAATGGTACAACATAAAGCAGTAAAAAAATTCGCAGAATCATGCAATAAAGTTTTTTTTATATTAAAATTTTAATAATTTTATATAGGTATGTAGAAATAAAAGATTGTATCAGTGTTGTAGTATTGGAATTTTAATTAAATACACAAAAACTATAAATTCTTTAAAATAATACAGAACGTTATTTAAATGTATTTACATTGATTTTTTTAATTTATATGAATCCGTGACTTTTATTACACGTCCAATTTTGGTAAATATTTAATGTCTTTTTCCCAGACACGTTTTTCTGGAGAAGGACAAAATCTATCGGAAGTTATGTCGGAAGTGCTGTATTCTAATTATTAATATTTTAATATTAATAATTAGAATCTCTTGTCCCCTCCCATATCGTTAACCATAAAATTAAATATATGTCTCTTTGGATGCATGTTCTTTATTCATCTGATTGCTGTGAGTGGGAACCCACCCAAAGCAGGTCTGGGGAAAGCTATATAAATATAAATTAAAATTCCTCAGAGCTTTGAGCTTTTGTAGGCTTTTTTTGTCCTGAGCCTGGGATTGTTTTTCACAACTTCGCCTGTTAGACCTAGGGGTTGCGGCATTATCACTTAGATAAAATCCATTGGTGGATTTGGCGGGATTTGAACACGGGACCTCTTGGACCAAAGTCCCACGGTCTAACAACTAGACCAGCTCGCTCCCCCTACCAAAGACTTTTGAGGTGAAGCTTTTTTTTGTAAGTAAATTGTTCAGTGGGCTCCATAGCAACAAAAATAATAGCTAAAATGTGTATATTTACTCTGTTTTTGCTTTCTGGATGCTTGGTAACACCATTTTGAGACATCTATACACATATGTGTATATGGTCAATAGTAACACTGCCATTTGTTTGGTTGAATTAAACCAAATATTATTTTTCGTAAAACTTTTCCTAAGGTTATTGACATAAATATAGGGTAACCCCATTGATTACCTTGATTAAAATTGTAATCAATAGTAACACCATTACGTATTTTACATTACTTTAGAGGATTTTTATTAACCTTTATTATTTTATTAAACCTCTTCTGCAAAAAGTTTTATATAAAAACAAGACCCACCGAGACATTACATAATTTTCGCAAGTCTAGTGTAAACTGGATTGACTAAATGTGTTTGTGAAACCTATACCCTCTCTTAGATAATATTTCAGAAATATGACAGTGGTATTGATTTGCCGAGTGGAAACGGCTGACAATTGAGTTAAGCTGATGTGGTACCTCTCTGTTGAAGGGCTTCTACAGATAGCGAACCGACCATTGTGCAACTGTTTAAATATACACTTCAATCTTGCAAAGGGATTTGCTTATATGGTTTTCTCTGATAACAGAGATCATCAAACAATCGTATTATTTACTGCAATCGTGAAAATAAAGTTTGTGATCATACATTTCGTGGAACATTCAGGGGTTTTGTTTCAGTGAAGAGAGTGATTGAATGAATGAATGAATGAATGAATTGAATGAATGAATGAATGAATTATGAATTTATTCCACCACATATATAAAATTACACAACCAAATGTACAAAAGAAAAAAAGGGTTTTATGCAAAACTAAACTAATTAACTATAACTATAATTAACTATATACATGTGTCAAAGGTTGTTCCTATCTAATTAGTCCTGGAATTAGCAGACATAGGCTGTGCCTGTGCGTCTGCTAAGTTGCTATAAAGATTGAATGAAGTTAAGTGGTGCAATTTAGTTTTATTAGTACATAACATAAGTCAGTGATAGCATTTTGATAAACTGTTTTTGGCATTGAGTACAATCAAATTAATTACCAATGGACTTTTATTATTTTTGTAGGTATACATATGTGTTATTGATCTCAAGTACCTTGGAGTCTAGCTCAACTTCAGTACCTAGTGTATTCTCTAAAAATATTCCTCGCTCCCAGTGATTTTTGTACTAATATTATACAGTAGACTCCCGCTGTATCCTAGATCTTTAGATATGTCTCCTAGGGACGCAGCAGGCCAAACCGGATAGTGAGTTTTCCAGTTAAGCCAACGTCGCGTAAAACCTTGCTGACTTTTACGCACGATAGTGTAAAGGAAGAGATGATGTGTTTATATTTATTTCGATGCACGTGGCTTCATGGTCTTTCCAGTCACAAAAAGTGGATTTTATGAGTTCTTACCCAAATTTAAATTTGGGAGAGCATTATATTTATAGACACGTGATCACTGGACTCGAATATTTTTTTAGAGAAAAGTTGTTTTAGTACCACCCATTTATTATTGCCGGCCCAGTCTGGTTAAACCAATCTGCTGATAAAAATTATCGGGCTTTAATAGTTATTGTAATTTCTAAGTACCTATGTAGTCTGGTTAAAGTGATGTCCAGTTAAAGATCAGTTAAAGACTTCCGGATAAGAGGGAATCTACAATCTACTCATTCATTCATTCCTATCATAATTTATTTCTAAACCCTTTATAATCTGTCAACATTTTTACTGTTGTATTTTAACTTATTAAATATGAGCCCAATGATTATTTTGTCCACATTTTCTTTGTTATTTTGTAACCAACATGACAAACAGTTAAAGACTCCAGAGGGCTTATACCATTGACTTATGGAAACTGAAGTAGACACCCCATCTATATGGGCAGCTCTCGCTACTTCTTTATTGAAAAAGCACATAGTTCTACGAGGCAGCAATCATATAGTGGGCTAGTGTCAAATGGAAATTCACTTAGTCTGCAGGTTTGCTGCAGTGGGGGTATTTTATCTTGAAACTTTGACCTTTTGTACTCACTCTGAGTGATGGGGAGAAGACATCTCGTACAGAATGTGTGCAGACAGGGAAGTACTCTAGGTTCAACCAGCTGACGATCACAAACCTTGCAGTTGAACATGCGATGGTCTTCAGCAGATATCTGAACCCTGATAAACAACTGCAAGTGAGAGATTGAAATAGCATAGCTATGGGTAGTCCTGACAGAACTTGTATACAAGAGAACCTCAGTAGCAAGAACCTGAATAACGAGTCACCCTTGAAGTCTCATTTTAAAATCCCATCTTATTTTACTCCAATAATCAATCAATTGCAACCATCGATAAGAAGTCAACCACAATAACAAGTCTTAGTTCACAATCCCCATGAGAATCTTTGTTATAGAGGTTCTACTGTAGGAATCAGAAGGTTTGCTAGCTTCACTGAGAAATAATTAATTGTCAGTAGTTGTTTTTATTTTGAAACTGACCAGCTGTCCTGATCATTGGGCTTTCAATAAATGATCTTGGTCAATAAGACAGCTGATCATAGGCAGTAACAAAGCTACACAGATTATCTCACTCCAGCATTCTATGATCATACATTTGCATATTCAGGTTTTAAAATGCACCAAAAAGTGTAGGTCACTTTCGTAGCAAAGTGACTTTTATGAGATATACTTTTATAAGCATAAAAGGTTAAAAGGTAAATTTGTTAACAGAAAACAATCAAACTAGTTTACTGTTTACAAATAGGTAGTTATGTTCAGTTCGCCGGTTCGTCTGCATGACAAAAACATGAGGTTTCCGATCTTGCATAAGACCTGAACTACAAGGCAAATGTGGAATGGAGTAAAGGTGGCGGTGGCATTAGCGACTCAAAAGTAGTGGTGATGATAATAGTGTCACGTAAAGATGAATAGTGTCAAAAACATTTACAAAAAGGGTAGGTTTTTGTGGGTTTTCTAGTTTGAGTCCAGCTCTTAAGGTTGACTCACCAGGAAATTTAGCAAATTTGTGTAAACATTTTCTATTTTTAAAATGTTTGCAAAATGTAGATTAAAATCTTTGAATTTTGATTTAAACACCAGCTAAACAGTTTTTGACAACATCTTAACTTAACAAATTTAGAACTTACTTGGTTCTCCGCAGCGAAGAGAATGGCTGAGGAGAGACATCCACAGACCTTCGTTTTGGGGCACCTTTAGATTCCGACGACTGTCTCCGTCGGGAGAAACTCCCAAAGATGTACGCCATCTGGTCCATGCCGATGTGGGTTAAGAAGAAGACGAATGTGTGCAGTAGTCGGGCCAGGTCAGAGATCAGCGTTGTTTGCCCCCTAAGTTCAACTTACAGTTGGAAAGCTAAGCTCACTTTTGAGGCTTCACTTCCCACCCCCCACTTCACCTAAGCATTGATTTTCAGTTAAGACAGATTTACACTTTGGATTCAACAAGTTTTGGCGCTATAAATATAGCTGTGTGGCTTATTACTGTGTGGGTGAAAGTTGGACAGTAGCCTGTAGATGATACCCTAGAATACAGATTTGAAAGCAGTGTTATATTTACACGCTTTGATAATTGTTGTCTAAAAAAGCAGAATGTTCAAAATAACATAGTCTTAGTTACTCTCATATGGTCTGGAGTTGGAAGAAGTTAGAAAGCTGTATTTATCACAGTGGGATTCAAAAGAAAAAACATGGGAAAATTAGAGTTCAACAATATTTTTGACAAATAAAAAAAAACTAATTAAGAATCCCAGCTTCATCTTCAAATTTTCTCGCTGACCGCCATTTCGTTCTTGTTTGTCTCAGGCACATGCTTGTTGCTCTTAAAAACTACACTATGTTCTTCATCTTCTCCAATTAATTACTAAACTGTATGGTATTTTCCATTTGTCTAATAAATTGTCAGCCATAACCCTTAAAAACATTTGAAATCCACTCTTGTAAATTCCACCAACACCTTGAGACAAGTGAAGTAAATTATGCATGTCGTTGTTTGCAAGTTTTTGTGTATTTTCTTTTTTTTCATCCTCTGCTTTTCTGTTCCATTTGCTCAGCTTATACCAATCAAAATCCAAAAAGGTAAACAGCTGTGGAATACTCTGAAATCCCAACTAGATGAATCCCTCAATCCCATCTGTAAGACATTTTTTACATTCACTCTAGTAGGAATCGTAGTAGGAATCGACTTAAAAATAATTTGTATCATTTGTTTGAATTGTAGCATACAAGCAAATCCTTATATATAATACGTGAAGGCGATTTCCACAAAACACTACTCCTCCGTTAATAATGGACGGATTTTTACAAACGACGTGTCAAAATAAAGTATTTTTTGTGTAAACGCCCCCTTTCACCAATTCCCGTAATAAAAATCCTCGGGCTTTGCCCCACAGGCCATCAAAGTTGGTGTTTCTCCCATAAGATTAACATGGGGGAATCTAAATATTTTATTGGAAGCTTTGTCCCCACTAATTTGAGAGAACGTCTGGGCGTAGAAACTTGGTAGAGGTGTCCAAAGAAAGGTCTTGGTCTGTAGATGAGTTATCAAAAGAAAAACTAAGCAAAATCCCTTAGGACTTCACCCCAGAAGCCTTTAAATATCCCTCCACAGAGTTGTTTACATTTTGGCCATGTGAATAATACTTTTTAATGAAACAGCTGTTCATTTTTAAATTGTATTTCAAACAACACACATTTATATTGGGGGTTACTGAATTCTACCAAATAAGTATTTGCAATGTTATTTTCTTATTTAAAATTGATTTTATTCTTTATCATGTCATGTTTTGCAATATAACGTTCCATTACGAAATCAGAGGATAATCCTTTTATCACAGCAATTCTTAAATTATTTGTTACTGAGCTATCTTATATACAGGGTGAGTTTCTACCGACCGTGTTAACTTCGCCAGTGGGTTCTACTCACTAAAAGGAACAAAAAAGTTCCTATAAACCCATGTCCGATTTTCGACCGTTTGGCTGTTTTGGGGGATTTTGTGTTTTTCTTATTTTATTAGACTTTGCTCCACAATTTATGTAATAAAAACTTAACCAATTACTTCAGAGAGTTATAGTTAAAATCATTGGAAAGAACATGAAATTTGCTATAAATCAAAGGTTTCATTCAACAATTATACCATTACATAGTCCACGTTATAACCAAAATAAAGTAAAAATGTCATTAAATTAATTAATTACGTTAATTTTCATGGGCCTCCTTTGATACATAAACCTGCATTTATGCAATGTTGAAATGCATAAAAAACTTGGCATTTTAATAATCTTTCAAATGATATGCTATTCAATACTATTATTGATATAAACCAGTGAGATATTACTAATAAACTACAATAAAACACGGTTTACAGATTTTGTTTTTGCACAGTTTTACTGTTAATAATAATTACTGTATTCATCATGTTGGCATAATCTTGATTGGTAAAAGGCTCCATATTTTAATAAATGTTAAAAAACTCTTAATTGACTTGGAAATATAAAGTTAAAACAGCAAATTACTCAACAAGGTATGTTCAAGCAGCTGAGTTATCTAGCTATAGATGACAAATCAATAAAAGCTGACTTAATCAAGCACAAGGTAAAACTAATTACACAGCATTTAAGAATCAAACACACTACATCTTTGAAAATGTGAAAAACCTTGAGTTTATACATTTTATTAATTCAGATAATTTTAATAAATATTTAAAAGTTAAAATAATGTACAAATTTTATCAGATAGTTCAATAAAATACATCATGGAGTATACAGTAATTAGTAATTATTATTAACAGTAAAACTGTGCAAAAACAAAATCTGTAAACCGTGTTTTATTGTAGTTTATTAGTAATTTCTCACTGGTTTATATCAATAATAGTATTGAATAGCATATCATTTGAAAGATTATTAAAATGCCAAGTTTTTTATTCATTTCAACATTGCATAAATGCAGGTTTATGTATCAAAGGAGGCCCATGAAAATTATCGTAATTAATTAATTTAATGTCATTTTTACTTTATTTTGGTTATAACGTGGACTATGTAATGGTATAATTGTTGAATGAAACCTTTGATTTATAGCAAATTTAATGTTCTTTCCAATGATTTTAACTATAACTCTCTAAAGTAATTGGTTAAGTTTTTATTACATAAATTGTGGAGCAAAGTCTAACAAAATAAGAAAAACACAAAATCCCCCAAAACAGCCAAACGGTCGAAAATCGGACATGGGTTTATAGGAACTTTTTTGTTCCTTTTAGTGAGTAGAACCCACTGGCGAAGTTAACACGGTCAGTAGAAACTCACCCTGTATATATTGTACGGATTGGTGTCTAGCTTTTTTTACCACTTTTGCCTACATTTTATCATATTATTCTACACATTTCAAATATTTATGAAGAAATATATGCGCTTATCGTGTCTAATAAAATCCAAACATAGAAACCTTGACTAAAATGGTACCCATCTTGACAAATTATTTGCATCTGCCTATATTACGGACTTTTGCGCACTGGGTTGGTAACATTATTGAAAATAACACGACATTTTGGCTGTAAAATATGGTACAAAGAGAAAATACTATTTAAGCAGCTACTGTCATAACAGAAAGGTCATATTCCTTTTAAACTAGATGGTAGATCACATAATACTTTATAAGATAGGTACGTTGATTAACAATATGTAAATGTCAATATATACGTAACAGCCAATTTACAGTATTTTTGCTTTTTGGAAATGTCCCATTGCTATGCCATTTGCATTATTTGTTGCCAATGAAGCTGCAAGGCCGTATGAACTAGGAGGCCCCTGACAGTTCAAGAATAAAATCTAACTTCACTTCAAGTATTCCACTACACCTAACATTCCGTAGAGAGATTATATTGACAACTTTATGTTATTGATAAGGCTGAGACAACTAACTGTCATTCCCCATGTTAAGGAATTCCAGCTACAACAATAACCCCAAAATCAATTTCTCAAACGTATGCTAGAGGGTTCATTCATTGGCATAGAAGTACGTTATGAAATGACGCGACGTGACGTAGGAAAATAAAACTTACACTGTAACGGATATACCTCCTTTTGAAATTAGAATATGTCTTCCCAAAAAATATTTTCTTTTCTAATAAAATCATATTACACTGATGAAATCACGGAAGTGTTTAACTGCAAAAGATCCACCAATACGAGTTTAATACTATTTAAAGGTTCTTCCAAAGGAAGTGATACCAGATAACATACTAATAATAAATCCGATGACGTACGGTATGGGGAATATTTTATTCATTGAATGATCAACCAAATTTGGCAACTAACGCAATTAATCACTATTGTTTTTACAATTATAACTCTTTAAACAATGCTAAATGCTCAAGATATGTATATTTCACCCAATTTATCGCAGTTAGATTAATTAGGTAAACCTTGAAAGTAACCGTCGATTTCGACGGGGTTCCCCTAGTATTAAATACTCAGTGATTGAGAATAGTGTTGATCTCTACCATGACATCTCACCTATATGTCGGCCGCTTAGAAAGCAGCAGAATCCTCGCACAGGTCGCTATCGATCCAGCCGACCTATAAAAGACTTGTCAAAAGTAACACAAATGTCAAATAGACTGATGTAATGCATCAGATCGAATTTGATACTCTTACAAAGAAAACTCTGGCAATACTTCATATTTCTTTCACTTCTTCAAACTTTTCAAGGTTTTTTTGTTGACGGTAACCCCATTTGGCTTGGCTACATTGATGTTTGGTTGTTGATTTCAATGTTTTACTGTGGCCACTATTAATATTTCATTGTTACTGTTAAGGTTCCACAGTGTTCATTGCGGTGACCTTAAAAATAATTGTTATTGAGTTTTTCTGTGCTCCCTGGCCACGGTCTGTTCAATAGATTGTGTTAAATTTTAAAACTGTTGGTCCATAAACGGCAACGTTTAACCAAACCTCAAACACTTTGCATGGGTACCCTGTATATGCACATAAAGTACTGTAGTGTCTTCCATAAAAGTATAATTCTATACTCTAAAACAAGCGTGTAGAAACTTTTATTTTCGTCTGAGAATTTTTTTATTTTTTTGTTGAATAAGGGGTATTTGGCCATTAGAAATCGACTAGAGTTGGTCACAAATGCTGGAAAAAATCAATTTTTTCCGCAGCCCTTGAAAGTACCCATGTTATTGTCAAACCCTTTTTGTAGTGGCAGTGTTAACAAAACAGCTGTTTCAGGTTACTTCTATTGACATAATTTAATTTGTTGTGTAAACAAAAATAACTGCATTGGTTAGATAAACATTTAAAACAATAGTTGTATTTAGTTAGTTTAGTAGGCACATATAGTGTTAAATGTTTTCAACGTTAATTTTTAAGATTAAAAATGAAACGCGTAAGACTTCCAGAGCGAAAATATTTACAGAATTTGCAAGGGAGAGAAGCTAGAATCAATCATCGAGGAACAAATTTTACCATTTCGTTCACAACCAAACTAGATCCAACTAGCTCATACATCTCACCAAATGTATCAGAACCTCAGCCAAGCCACGCATCGAAGAATGAAAGTATTGAAATAATTTCAGACCGTATGGCCGGGCAATATGATGAACAACAGGCTGATCATTTTGAGCAGGATGGTCGACGAATCGCTGCTCGAGAGCTCGACGTCAGTGCAGTGAAGTCTGAAATCCCTCAAACCTATAAAGTCGCTACATCGCCTGATTAGAGATATTTTATTGAATAAGTATTTTGCATTTGAATAAGTATTAGCGGAAAATGTTCAAAATATTTGAAACACCGTGCAATCCTTGCTGTCCTTAATGCTGAAACTGTAAAGATAAACAACAAAATTATCCAAATGCTACTTACTGGGCAATGAGAAAGTTTGCAAATGTTTCGGTTCAATAATTAACTTATGTTTATAATAAATGTTTTATTGAATCCGAGCAAAGATCGGTCTCCCAGTACTCGTAAGAAACACATGGAAGGTCAAAAGGTGCTATTTGTTCCATCAGTTGCTATTAAAACAACATTTTTCCAAACTCTTAAGCTCTTGCTTGACATTATTTGGAGCAATTGATTACTCTAATTTGGTTTTAATTTTTGTATTCATTTTTATTACAAATACAACTTACTGTTTATGAAAATACCCCTGTCGTAGCAAACTTGCAGACTGAACGAATTTCCATTTGCCTGGTTGGATTTTCACTTAAATCTATTTATATGATATCAACGAGTACTGTACCTATGTTTGATGCTACAGGAAGCGCAATAAAGGGAAAGGGGAAGGGTAAAATAATTTTTTTGAGTTTGATCAAATTATCTTTATGAACAAGCAAACTACAACCCTTTACTCATTTTCCATAAGAATAACATAGGAATTTTTAATAATAATAAAAAAAAAATCTGTAACAAATATTTCCACAAAAAATTTCAATATACTTAATTCTTTGTTTTTAGCGAATTTCCCTATAGGGAAGTAGCTATTACCGTAGGTGGCACGGTAAGACCTAGACCCGGGACCGATTTACTTTTTCATTTTGATGTCCCCAGAGGCCAAAAACACCATTCGTTCAAATTTTTATATATGTATATATATATATATATATATAGACATATATATATATATATATATATACGTCCGTGAACGCGATAACTTGAGTAATTTTTGTCCGATTTTGATGAAATTTGGTTTAAAGGTGTAAAGCGGGATAAACTTGAATGAGTTCGCGAACCAGCACGATCGGACCATGGGAACGGGGCTTTACGGGGGATTTTATGGGGTAAAAATTGGTTTTTCTCACTTTTGACCCTCAAAACACAAAATTTCCCGATTTCTCTTTAGACCTTATTAAAGAGCTTAAAAAAACAAATAATTTAGTATATAAAAGTATTTTTGTTCGATTATTAGTAACGGAGAAAATTAAAGAAATTGTAAATTTAAAATTCCCATGTTATTCTTATGGAAAATATTGTCAAATGTTGTAGTTTGCTTGTTTGTGGATATATTTTGATCAAACTTGGCAAATTTATTTATTTTGTACTAAGCTATCAATATTTTACTCAAAAACACACTTTATTAGTTTCCTTGTAGCAGCAAACCTAGGTACTCGTTAAACCTAATGTTATTAAAATATATTTAACTGAAAATCAATTCAGACAAATGGAAATTCGCTTAGTCGTCAGGTTTGCTGCGGCGGGGGTATTTTAAGTTCTTCAAAATGGTTTAGAGATAAATTGGAAAATTTTATATTTTGAGGGTCAAAAATTAGAAAACCCTATTTTACCCCATAAAACCCCTCATAATACCCCATTCCCATGACCCGATCTCCTCGCTTGTTTGTGAACTCATTCAAGTTCATCCCACCATTATTCAGGTAACTTATAAAAGTTTTATAAAAACTCCACATGAAGGAGTGGCTCAACAAGTTTAAATCAGTGTAGCAGTTTTATCAGCTGATTTTAATGTTGCTTGGTAAACAATAACAAATAATTTGATGAGTCTCGTTAGAATCACAATGGAAGGTCCTATCAAAGCAGCACAGTGTGTGTGGAGAGGTTCTTTGAAACTAAGAATGATGTTGTTCAACGGAGTTTTTGGCCAAGATACAATAGAAATCCTCCTTTAAGTCCTACAATTAAGGTTGGTACTAGTTATTATAAGTTTGAATGAATAAAGGTCAGTTTCCATCCATCACAAGAAAGGGAACAGCCGACCCCGAGTTACCGAGGAAGATGTGTGTCGTGTTCAACCAATATTTGTGAACAGTCCATGAGATGTGCGGCAGAAGAGTAGCACACTAAACCACTACCGTACACAGAATCCTGAAATTGCTTTGATTCCGTGCTTATAAACTTCAAATTTTAACTTTGCTGAAATAAATTGACTCTTTTTATGGTTTGTGATTGGTCCGAAGACTTATTTGCGTTCAAATAATTGTAAATTGAAGTTAGGTAAATTCCTTTATTATGTACCAAAACTTGAAATGATTTCCTAGACTTTGATTGTTATAAAAGTTTTAGGGTTTCTTAAAGTTGTAAAGTTTTCTATTAACACCCTGTAAATGTTCCCAGAAAACCACCTAAATTTTTTGAACGGAGTAACGTAGAGAATCCATTACAGCCATAGACATCCTTGCAATAGTGAGGTCAAGGAAAGCGACAGTTTCAGTTTTCAGTTAGACGTTTTACTCTGATGTATAAATACATTGCACCACAGGAATGTATCACGGAATAGACTGGTGAAACCTATGCCATTTGAGACATCTCTTCCAATCTTATTTTCAAATCTTTCTGTGCTGCTGCATCATGTCCCAAAATGAAAATTGCAGCGTTCAATACTGACTTTGCTTCATCTTTGATGTCCTGCAAACAAAATATTCATTTAAAAGCTAAATATTTATTTTTCAAGCTATATTTGTTTTCATAGTTATAGCAATAGACAACGCTAACAAAATTTTATTTTGTAAAATTTTTTATTTGTGAAAAGCTTTTAACAGGTTTTATTAAAAATTTTTGACCCAAGCTTTCCTTGAGTATGGTTATAGAATTATAGTTGGCCGCTTAGATAGCGACCTCCTCTAGCATTAGTTAGCGTGCAGGTCGCTTTCTAAGTGGCCAAACTATAGTTGATCTCATTCAGTGACATATCAGTATCACCTAATTACTTTAACACTCATCTTTAACTAACTTTTCCTAAACATGCGCTACCGTATATTGTATCAGTGTTATTTACATTTAATTCCTCTAATCCAATCCCATCAGTTCTTAGATGTTCAGAGTCGTGAAACTATTACTGTAGAACACTTGATCTTAATAACTGCACATTTCAAGGATAAATTTATCCTTTTAATTTCTTCCGGATTAAATTAATATCACTCCTTCTGCAGCAGGTACACATGTAAGATTTTATGAGAAAATGAAGAATAAAGTTGTATTAACTATTTCATTACAATACAACACTATTGGGTCTTTTTACACACCTGGCATTGTGGATTACAGTTTTTTAATCTTCGATATTTTTCACTCAGCGCAGCATGTAGTTCCATTAGAATAAGTCCTGAAAAAGTGACTAATTATTAATGTATTATCAAATCCAAAAATTTTTGTCAGTATTCTTAAATGTTTAATTAAATCTTGTAAACCCCCAAATGAAGCATTCCAATGCCGTTGCCGACACAAAGATTTTATGTGAATCCATATTTTTACTTATTGCTCAATTCACTATTGAACTCTTTTCAATTGCAAACCATTTAAATTTTCAAAGTGAACAGAGTAATTAATTCAGTGTCATATTCTTTGCTCACTTTTCTTCACTCAGATGCCAACTATATTAACAATAAATTAACTTAGTTAAACTTTTCTTATCCTCACCTTTAGTGCGGCATTCTCCAAGATTAAGCAGTTCTAACAAATGTAGAATGTCTCTACAGCATCTGACTTTCAGGTCCAGTAGATCTTCTGAGAGTTCTAGAAAATGTTATATGATTTGTATTCCTCCAATTTTAGATAAGCATGTACAGCTTAAATGGGAAAGGTTTTATTTGTCAAGAGTGGGATAAGTGGATAAGTGTGATTCCTTGTCCTACACCCAATGGATCAGTTGATGTGAACAGATATAAGCAGTAGATTGAGTGATTGAATAATTTTAAATTTTTTCCCCAGTTGACGTAAGCTACACGATGATCAGTTGGGCTGGTGGCTTTCAAGTACTGATGTCAACCCATAAGCCAATTATCAAACTAAAAAATAAAATAACTAAGAAAATAACAAGACAAATTACACACCTGGCCAAGTGAAGGTAGGCTTGTGGCCAAGCTGCCAAACCAATCCTAGCTTCAGCTGCACTACGACTTGGCTCTGCGGAGGGAGTGAGCTGTCAGTGAGGAACTGGGCCACTGAGGGTGGTTCTGACAAGCTGAGGGTTTGTACCAAGCCACCCTGGGCGGCCTGTAACTGGGCGGCCTGCTTGGGTGATACCTGCAAGTGGATTTTAAAAATAGTAAGGTAGCAATTCATATGTATGTGTACACATTGATAGTTGAGATGGTTGTATTTGGACGTGGACGTTGTGGCTGAGGCAAAGGAGGACGTTTAAACAGGAGGAAGAGATGGGCTGGGCATGTTCTAAGGAAAGAGGACAACGGGGTAACGGAGTTCCTAGTCTACTTTTTCCATTAATCCTATACCAGGTCTTCAAAAAGTCTGACAACCCTTTAATATTTTTCTTATTAATTAAGGCAAAACAAAGAAACTCTAGAATTACACCCTCAGTGTAGTTACTGACTTTTTGGTCATTTAAACCATATTTGTTCGATTTGGGAGGACGTACTGTGGAGGAAGTCTCAAAAATCATAAATGTAAGCATATAGGTTGAATTGCCTCATTTTCAAGGTCTTTGTTAGAGAAACACATAGCCGCAAATCCGCCTGTAAAAAGGACGATTAGTTTGGAAATAGCAGCCTCAAAGTTTGTTAACTTTTACGTACCCGAGATTAAGAGACAGAAGTAAACACTCAACCGTGTTTTGATAGTGTTTTAACTTAGATAACTTCACAGCTGGAGTGTAGCTTGAGCGAAATATCACTAATGGTAAATTTAATTGTTAGAAAACACATCTCAGTTCTCACACTGGATATATTACGTCCACACCACTGGTGACATCATTAATTACCTTTTAATAAGTACTGTAACTTCTTTTAACGATATAACTAGATTTTTTTTAAAATTTCTTTACCAACCTCCATAGAGCAAGAGCCACAAAACCAAGGAGAATTCGGTTTCAGAGGGTTCCCCGGGAGAAGCAGACCTCGACACTGAACATCGGTACAAGGCAGACAGGATAGCATTGAACCAAACTCCTGTGGAACCACAGTAAAATTATGTGAGAGAATTACGAAAAAACTTGGGATAGAGATCTTTCCAGTCAGCAGTAACAAAACTCAAAAAAGGAGAAAAAAAGTAGTCTACGTATTATAAATTGAATTTAGTACTAATATTTATAAGAATTAGAATTAGAAGAACAAAATTGAATTAAGACCTTAAGGAATGCTAAATTTAAAATTTTAGTTCATATTACATACAAAAATAATTTTAACAAAATTACATTATCAGTTAAAATAGCAATGGTATCATAAACTAATATTTTACACTTAGTAATATTTCGATAACAAAGTACATTGATGTATTCAATTTTCAACTCTTCTCACAAACTTTAAGGGGTTACTCTGAAATAAAACCTCAAAACTTCTAGAAAAGAGAATTTACCTCAATTCTTAGATCTTTTTGCTCTCTGCAAAGTTCATACATACACTCTCATAAATGAGAATGATTAATACCAGCGTTTGATATGGTTTTCTCTTATTCTCATAACAATATGGTTACTCCATAACTATATGTTTTAAATATTAGTTTTCTACATAATACTACCATGTAATCAAAAAATATTTCATGTTGGAATACAACATTTCTGTTAAATCTGTTGTTGTTAGCTATTGTCATTTGACAATATGCTTACTAAAAGACCATTGACTATATATACCATAACGTTATGGTATGTAGTCAATGAAAGACTACTACTGTACTGTTTTCTCTCCAGTACTGGCGAAAATGCCTACTAGAAGGACTTGGACTTGGCCAAGTATTCGGCATTCCAGAGATGGGCCACTCAGCAGCTGAGACGATTTACAAAGAGCAAAAGAATAAACAGACAAAGCTTTTAGATACATTTTATGGCCTTAAACTAGACTCATAATGGTAAAATAAGGTTTATTTGTTTCAATGTATACAAACATAGCTTACAAGGACCCAAAGAAAATAACTCTCACTCTGGGAGATCCCCTGAATTCATAGCGGTTCTACTGCTTTTAAGATGACCTTATTGTATAATACAGTTTAACCATAGTATATATTAAAGTTACTGTTTAAGTATAATATTGACTCACTGTGGGGTCCACACAGCGAGAACATCTACAAAGAAAGTGTTTTGTCTTGGCCAGGTTTATCCTGCGGATGTTTGTGCTCCACAGCAGAACACTGTAAGAGGTCGTGACTTCTTCTCCTTTGGTAATAGCCCTGGCTGCTACTACCTGCAAACATTAACAATTTGATAAAGGTCCACTGAAGTAAATATACATGGAACAGATTAAAAGTTTTGACTGTTGAGTTACCACAATGAAAAGCCTAAACTGACACATATTCTTCCAAAAATTTGTTTGATGGGTGAGTAAGTGGTGTAGAAGTAACTAAAGATATTTTTTGTGTGAAATCAAACAAAATTTGAATAATAATGAATTGCAGTTCTAACACAGGGATTGTACCATTTTGTTTAGAGTCAAAAGGACTATTAGACCATATACTATAGTAAATACATTTTAATCAACCTTTCAAGCTGTTTTAGTGAAAATCCAATTTTTGTTATTTGATGGGTTAGTGATAAAATCACAGTGGAAAATTTAAATTCTGAAAAAGTGAGAAAATACATTTAGATATCGTAGATTAGTAGGTACCCTCATAAAAAATTCATCAATATTATGGACTACTAACAGGTGTAGTCTATAGCTCAGTACATCTACACTCACGGTACCTACGTCCAGAGTGCTCGCCGATTCAGATTCAGATTACTATATGAAGGTATTGTAAACCATTTTAAGTATACAATAACATTTAAAGCATTTTAAGTATGATCCGGAGGCTAAACAACTATTTTTAAACTCAAAACCCAAACTCAAAAATGTTGACACTAACAATACTTTCTCCATATACTTTGTATAGGGGAAGAAAATATTAAACACTTTATAAAAAACTAGAATATGGAATAGAAAGCCACTTCTAATACCTTCATAATTCCATTAGCGTCATAAACATGGCATGTGTTAGGACTGCACTCGTTGTTCATTATGGATGCCAGAGGGTACAGGCCTCGAAGGCTGGTTTGAGCACCGTCCTCAAACACTCGAAGAAACTCGAAAGAGTTTGTGTCCATGACACAGCAACACTGACGCATCCACTCCTCGTCTTCTCGCTTCAACTTGCCTTTCATGTGGTGCTTCATCAAATCAACCTTTAACAGTGACAGGATTGTAAGTTAACAATTTTAAGGAAAACAAATACAGATTTCAAATAAACGGTACTGAAAATTCCACTTAATATCTATTAATTTTTGTACGCTATATTTGTTCAAAATATTCACCTTATTTTTTTAGTAACAAATTTATGAGAAATTATCGTAAACAAAATTAAGGTTCATGGGGTAAAATTCCGGGCGATCCATTAGGTCTACCTATCAAATCTGCTTGACTTGGTTAAAAAGTTGGGGGTATTTGACTTAAATAACTAATTTTCATCAGCATCAGCGAATTCTGTCGTGGCTCAATTAAAAACTGTCTAACCTTGATATAACGAAAATAAACATAAATATAACATTTTACATGATATAACGAATTCTATCTCCTAGAGCTCTCCATAACAAACAAAGGACAACATTTTTTTCACCTCTATACATAATTTAATAATAAAACTTTAGATAATATCTAACCAATATATTATATTGGTAAAAAGTCAAAGTAACTGCCCTTTCCCTACACCTAGGTCAAATAACCAGGTTTACACAACGTATAGTGTAAGAAGTAATTGAATACTTACTTATCAGTTAGGTATAAAAATATGGAAACCTAACCTCAACACCATGGATCTTCCCAGTATTTCCTTGAAGACACTGAACAACTTCCCTGTCCTCTGGAGTTAGGAATAGGCATCTTAAGGGAGTCACAATCCCTACAAGATCTAGACGCCAACAGCCAGTAGGAAGGTCTATGTTGGAACTGGCTAGGCGACACTCCTCTATGTGAAGAGGAGATGCAGCACAGATGGGGCTGCAGACAGGCAGGGGACATCCAGCGGGGCAAGCGGCGACACGCCCCCGCCTTCCACAGGAACTGCACATGGGCTCATCTGGCTTGGCTCTGGGACCTGAATAACACTGATAGTTAGAAAGGCAGCGATTCTTTGCGTTGTTAGTTTTCATTTATCATGACCTTCAAAATGAGGGGTCACTCGATGGGCTTAGCATTCAACATTTTGAGTTTCCTCCGAAATCCCCAATAGGTTTGCGAACCAAGTAGCAATCAGGCTCAAAAAGTACTTTATAAAGTTGTTTTTTTTTGTTTTTTTTTTTGGGGGGGGGGTTGTATTGTAACGTCCGCAATAACCCTTTGAGCAAAATTAACTCACCATCAACAATGAAATTCAAACAAAGGATGCCATAAAGGTGTGCAGAGTTTAGTTTTTCTACTGTGAGCCGTACAAAATTTTCAGGAGGTCACAGACTTGGAAAGCTGTAAGTTAAATTTCACTTCTGAGAATTTCAATTGACTGCCATTTTTTACTGGGTTGAGATAGAGACTCCTAGTTTGCGTTGATGGGTTTCTTTTATCAGGATCTTCAAAATGAGGGGTCTCACCGTTTGAAATTTTTGAGCTTCCCCTAAAATCCCCCATCTTGGAGATGTACACGAAGCAGCGCTTATGCCCAAAAAGTACTTCATAACATGCCATAAAGGTGTGCAGAGTTTAGTTTTTCTAGCGTGAGCCGTAAAAAATTGAAAGGGGGTCTCCAGACTTTTTATTAACCCTGTATATATCTTCAAGAAGAACTGATAATATTGGAATTAATACTAATTTGAAATAAGAACTTCGCCAATATTTCTGAATTTTTAATTTTCATGAGGCCTTTCGCCAGCTATGCTGGCATCATCAGACACATCACAAAACTGAAGGTTATGTTTATGTTTACAAATACAATTATAAATTTTAAAGAATGTAACATATGGGTAGTTAAAAATAAAAACTATTCTGTTAAGTACATTTAGCTAAAGTTACAAAAATAAATCATATATGTTACATTACTAAATTCTAAATTTACAAAATTATAAGTTAATTCTACTTGATATTTCATTTTTATACATATATGATTTATTTTTGTAACTTTAGCTAAATGTACTGAACAGAATAGTTTTTATTTTTAACTACCGGTACCCATATGTTACATTCTTTAAAATTTATAATTGTATTTGTAAACATAAACATAACCTTCAGTTTTGTGATGTGTCTGATGATGCCAGCATAGCTGGCGAAAGGCCTCATGAAAATTAAAAATTCAGAAATATTGGCGAAGTTCTTATTTCAAATTAGTATAACCCTGTAAATTCATCCAAGTGGCTAATCCTAACCAACTAGTTATCTCGATCTGTGTCCTACTGAACTTCTACATAAATTTTAATAAAAAAATTCACTGAGTTTGATAAATCTATCTAAAGTCTGATGATTGTTGGCCATTAGTTTTTGCCAATGGTAATTATGTAACTATGTAAACTAATCCAACCGAACCTAACCTAACCTAACTTAACCTTACCTAACCTAACCAAACTTAACCTAACCTAAACTAACCTAACCTAACTTAGAAACTTAGGTTAGGTTGGGTTAGGTTAGGTTAGTTTAGGTTAGTTTGTCAATAACATGAGTACTGTACCTATGTAAACTAACCCAACCTAACCTAACCTAACCTAACCTAACCTAACCTAGGATAATAACCTTACCAGAGTTAGTGGGTGGGTGGGTATAACTCCCCGGCGGCCGTGAAAAAGTAGTGAGGGCGAAATCTGTAGTGGTAGCGTGCTTTGAACAGGTACTCCGCCAGGTAACCAATGAAATGTTTTTCAGCCCTGCCGTACTTAGGTATAGCTGCCCGGATATCGCGCCAACGTCTCTCGATGTTATTAGTATGTGCCCCAGAATCCGGGTCCACAAAGTTCTTACTGTGGTTCACTGTTAGATATCTGAACCTGCTTCGTAGCGTATAGTACGCCCGCCAACAATCAGTAATTATTATTGATCCCGGTCATCGACATATAAAACTAACTGGATCGGCTGCTAGGCTTTGCGACCCGAGCCAACGCCCGGGGTTGCGTTTTAGATTTTGCAGGCGTCATGTGGGATTAAGCGTCTCGCTGCGCCACATCTTAGCATTGTCGCGGCCAGGACGGTGCACTTTATCCAGCCCTTTACTCTCTACTAAAACGTTGTAAGGCATTTTAATAATCAATTTTCATGATCTTTTGTACAAGTAATAAAAGTGTAAAAATAACGCTGTGAGTAACCGAGTTTGGGTACCACAATTAATAAATATTAACTGACGGCGGATATTTCACACTGAGGTTTCTGATCAAATATAATTTTAATTCCGATTTTATTTTTTTTTATGATGGAATAAAAGTAATAAAATAGTACAATTAAGAAACCTTTATGACTTGGTTCTTTCTTCACTTACTACTCTAACGAAACCAATTATGTTTCAATGTTGCAATACAAAATAGTCTATGTTAAAAAATGGGTTTTATGAGTTTCTCGTAAAATACAAAATATTCTGGGGTAAGGTATTAGTAACAACAAGGTTAGATTGTATAAAAAACATTTTATTTAGGAAACTTTGTAAAACAAAGAAACATATTTAGCCTAAACATTGCTAAAAAGAATAAGCTTATTTAACTTCTGCCGCATACCAAGCTTTGTCAGAGAAGCTTCTGCTGTTTTAGGTTTACGCTTAGAAATTTTGTGGCATATAATTTTGTTAAACATAATACCAATTAATTTGATTAATTTCATGTCATGGCTTTCCTCGCTAAATTCATTATTACCTTTATGATTAAGAAAAACGTTACCAGCAAAGGTTCTACATGCTAATAAAATAGTTTTTGAAGCATCAAATATTTGCCAATCCTTGGAATATGCAACAATTTGATTGTACATGAACTTAACAATTTTCAGTACATCTGGCGAAGCCCTGATTAATTTTCCTTTTTATAGAAAATCAGTAAAATTAGTGCAAGTGCTTGGATTTGAATCGCCAGTTACCAAAAGATTACACTGCATTCTTCACATTTCAGTTTAGGATCCAACTTTCGAATAACATAACCACAAATATAATATAGTACATTGTCTTTATAGTAAGACGACTCTTCTATGCCTTCTAATTCTATATCATCAGCATCATCGGTTTCATCACTATGTCCAACTACTTGGGAATTCGTTGAAGCTCATTACAGAACTTTGTTGATAGAAGTCAAATGATAAGCAATTGCCTTTATCAGATGGCTGGACACTATAGCGAAACATAAGTTTTCTCAAAGCCCACTGGAACTGTTTCACATTTGGATTATTGTTATTTCCTCCTTGAGATCTTATACAGGAAAATAAGAATTCCAGGTGGTCTTGAGAAAACTTGTACGTTAATATGTACTTAAATTCATGCTCCTCTGATAAACTTTTCATCAAAATATTTATCGTGAGGATGTTGGTGATAAAGCCGAGAGCAAACGTTTTCCTGGCATGATTGAGAATAGGAACTTTTCCAATTTTCAAACAGGTTAAATAGTTCAAACATTTCTGTAGCATACCATTTATATACTCTAAATTGTCATTCCGTATCGGTGCTTTGAAATTTGAAAATTAAGACTGAGGGAGGTTATTGTAACACGCACTTGCGCCCAAGGTCAGGTGTCGACAACACGGTTTCGCGCGCTATATCCCACATGCTGCCTTCAATTTGCCCATGCGGCAACCCCGATACACACCTGTATTGGCTCGGAAAGCTCTACACGAGCCTTACGGCCTGCGCGCAATCCAGTTAGTTTTATATGTCGATGATCCCGGTCGGACGTACTTTCGAACAAGTTTAACGAGGGTCTGCCTGGTACGGTCGGGCACAGGGATAAAAAAGCTTTCCCCAGTTCCTCTTACTACCCCTCCCAGTACCCACTGCCCTTTGACTAGCCTACCTCGGTTGTACTTGCGTTTGCCGAATTTTGCTTCGTCGATTTCGACAACGCAACCGGGCCCACCTAACCTTTTTTGGTGTTGTTTATTGTGGAACTGCAGGACCTCTCGATAAAACGAAAACCAGTCAACAGCTGTGTTTGGCCCAATGTCAAGGGTGGTTTGGAGGAAAGTTTGCCGGGGAGGATTTTGGTGGAGCAAGTAAAGTACTATCCTCCAAACTTTAATTTCACATTCAATTTCACCCTTAATAACACGGTGTTTCACAAAAAAATCAACAACTTGTCTTTCGCTGTAACCCGCCCCGTCCCAAAAGTTACACTCACAGTCCACACATGGCAAATTGACAGCCATTTACGACCAAAAACGACAAAAACTAACTTAACACACTACATTTACAACAGAATAATACTAGGGTTGCTTTCAGAGAGGTGAAAGCCAGTTGAGCGGAACAAACGTGATTTAATATTTGTATAAGTAACTAAATGTAAAAAGGTCAATAGATTTATTTACTAATGCTGGTTTTAAAGATTAAAATTATAATAACTCAAATTTACCTCTTCGAGAAGTGCATTATGGTAGTTTTGACCAGGAAAATATTACAGTAGTTGGAATCTGATATTAACATCCAAAAAGTAAAGTATAAAAATGAGAAAGGTAATTTAACATTCAAATGCAACGGCTACATTTTTCACCCTTACAATCGGTTAAAGTATTTAAGTATAAACAAAACAGTAACTATAAAAAAACGAGTATTAAAGTATAACAACAGGAGGGGAAATTTGACATTTAAATTCAACCGTGCAACATAAAATGGCTGGAATGTAGGCCTAAACATAAGTAATAAGTAAAATCGCATTCAGCTGATTTAAGTGAAAACAGAATAATATAATAAGTAGGGAAGACATGCCTTAAATATACAATGTAGATAATATAATTAGAAATTAGTAGCCTACTTCTGGACAGGCCTAGACAATTATCCATACCGTGGTTAAAAGTGTACTTCTATAAGCCCAGGTTTACTTATCAACGGTTGTAACTGGACGTATGTATAGTCCGTGGCTTGGCAATCAAATAACAGTATTTGTATAGGATGGGCTACTGTTAGACTATCAACATTTGAAATAACTGAATTGTTAC